TTTCACCAAAGAGGAGTTTTGCAGTGATCCCATGCATGGAAGAATGTTTTTGGGTTTACAGCTCTTAAAGGAAACATTTCTTAGCATAAATTAATAAATTCATTATTTTAAGAAAATGTTTTCTTTCAAAGAATGTTTTGTGTTTCCAAGAAACCATTAATACCAATAAAAAGGTTCATTTTCAAAAGCATACAATTTTTTTAATGCTTATTAGGCTGTTCTTGTCATCCATGAATCTTCAAATTTTGTATTTATTATTATTATTATTATTAATATTACTACACTGTGAAACCCAACAGTCAACTTTATCAAATGAATTGAGTTCTCTTCATTTATTAGGTTTTACTGTGCTCAAATTGCCATCGTTTACTCAAATGGAGTAAGTTTACAGTACTCATTAGGATTAGTTTTTAAACTTAAATAGTTTGTTGCAATCAGTTTCCTCAAATGGTTTGAGTTACCTTAACTTTTTGGGTTTTACAGTGTATTGTTTTTATTATTATCATTCAAATGGCCAAATTCTGACTGAGAAAAGTTGAATGTGCTGGCCAGTTTGTTATTTGTCTAATAAATGACAATAGGCTACAGTTTTAATTCTAATGATATACGTCAAATTTGTTTTTTTTAAACAAGTTTTTGTTTTTTCCGTATTTCTTTATTCTAACTCTTTAGCAAATATTTTTGGTTCATCAAAAATTGTGGTGTTGCTGACAATTCAAAAAACCAATCCAGCCAAAAATAGAGCTTAAAATGTCACTAAATGGAGTATTTAAGTCTCATAATCAAATATAAAATGAGGCCAATAACTGCAAAAGTACACTTTTAGAGAATAAAGAACCACCCCTTTAACCAGGCTGGTTACAGGCCTAGGGAAAAGTTATCTTGAACTTTAAAATGTTCTTTCAATGATCATGAACTGGTCATTTGTGGAAACTAAAACTTTTTTTGGGTATGCATTGCTTCACACTAATAAATAAGAAAAGTCACCTGGAAAAGTGTCATTGATCCGTAGTTTGGAAATGCACACATTTTCGTCCTCGCCGCCTGCACAGTCAGCCCTGCCATTGCAAGCCTTCTCAATTGTAATGAACTTCAAAGAACCAGAGCAAAAGAAAAACTTGCTGTTCACCACCCTAACAGCTGAAGATAAACAACAGATTTTGTTGTTGTTGTTGGTAATTGCCTACCATTTTTTTTTTTACAAATGATAAAAGACTGAATAAAATGCAACAATTCTTACTAAAGTACAAGCCCACGATCAAAGACACCATTATGGCCAGCACACAGCAGACGGTGATGATGGTCAGTCTCCAGCGCGCTCTGCTCTCCTCCGTCCTGAGTGTGCTCAACTCTCGTCTTCGCGTCATGGCCATCACACACTGAGAGAAGAAAGACCAAGAGAAAGGAGTCTAGTTTACTGGCCTTCTAACTGAACATGGATGTGATGCCGTTTCTTAGCTGTATGTGAGACTTCACTAACACTAACAGTTTTATAAGACTACAAATAAATTAATTCCATATGTGGATTTAAACTCGTGTTGATATCCTATCTGTTCTAATTAGAGACTCTCACAAGGTTTCCTGACTAACCACCAGCTAACTACATACTACAGCGTTTAGAGACTCCCATAGTTATAACCTCCACTCAGCTGATCTGCATCAACTAATTAGGCTGAATTCAGACTAGCGTACTAGTTCAAAGAATGGCACACTGTTATTAGTTTTAGAAAATGAACATGCTAGTATACTGAAACAGAGTGAATTTCTGAATTCAACTTTTGATGGATTAGTGATCAGATGTCAACGTATACAGGAGAAATGATTGCATTGTTATTAGCAATACAATAGGTAGAGTAGATAAGACCTTTGAAATCAGTCATCTGTTCAGTCTCAAGTTCTTCCCTGGGTATAATAAATCAGAAGGTAGACCAGAGATTTTAATGTAAATAATGGAAACATTATATGGAATTCAAATGATGGGTATAACAGTAATATTGTATGGGTACCTGCACATATTGATGTTCAAGGAAATGAAATTGCAGATAAGGAAGCATAACAAGCTATTAAAAATAATGACATTAGTCTAAATGTAAGTATAAGTAAGAGTGAAATTAAGAGTATTATTAAGAAAGAATGAAGCAAAGGTGGCAAAAACAATAAGATAATGAGAAAAGGGGATGGTGGTTTTACAGAGTTCGAAAGAAAGTATTAAAAATGAGAAGTATATGGAAAAACAGGAGAGAGGAGATAATAATAGCTAGGGTGAGATTCTCTTCATTTCACACGAAATTAAATAGTATACACTTTTTAAAATGGGCAAACATGGTATACAGAACAATGTGAGTTTTGTGAACAAGAGACAGTTGAACATATTACACAGCATGAAGATGAAAGGAAGACTCTAAATAAGAATTTAGAATAAAAGTTCGTTTTAAATTAAATGACATTCTACAAAATAACTCAGGAATGCTATAACTTTTTACTGCAGTATCTTAAAAATACTTATTTGTGGGAGATGATTTAAGAAAAGAAAGAGGTGGGTGAGACGACTGGAGGGCAAAGTCATAATGATCCACACTCCATGCCAGTTGGTGGAAGAAATATACCAATCTGTTGTTTGTCAACCACTAATAAATTTAAGAAGAAAAAAGAAGAAGAAGAACTTTTGATTTCAAACTAGGGCTGTTTATTATTATTATTATTATTATTATACATTATAAACATTTTATCATTGCCAAAACAAGGGAACTAGGGACTCTGGGTGTTGCTTACAAAAAAAAAAGAAAAAAAATCAGAATCAATATCTTTTTTATATCTTACTTAAGATATCTATATTCACTGGATATGTACAATGAATAATTCTAAACGACTTCTTTTATATTGTCATTAAGTAGCTATTTTGGATGAGCCATATTTTTTTAATCAATATAAGAAACAAAAGAATTCCAATACAAAGTAACATTTGGAACTGATGCAATTCGATTAAGAAATAAAGAGCACACTATAAAAAAATCCAACTTACAAATTGTTAATTCATTTCAAAATTCTAAGTTAGGTGGGTATATTTTTGAGCTCAGTGTTGAGTTCACTCATGAAATTATTTCACTCCATATTTAGAATGAAATTATTAATCCTTATTTTCAATGAAAATGTTATGTTTTTAAACTAAAGGGGTTCACGTTGTGCCAAATTATTTTTTGAAATTGAGTTGAATCGACTTATTCTGTAAAGTATTTTTGAGTTAAACTAGCCTTTTCAGGCAACTTTTAAAAAAAAAATTGGCATTCAACCACTGAGGTTGAATAAACTCTCAATTTCTTTGCAGCCGGTTGCTTTAAATTTTTAAGTTAACTCAACTTTTTAATTTTTAAAATGCACTATTTACCTGTAAGAAGAGTTGCCAGATATGTGAAATATAGTCATCACTCTTAAAGGGATAGTTTACCCAAAAATGAAAAATCCGTCATTTACTCACCCTTTATTTGTTCCAAACCTGTTGACTTTCTTTCATCTGTTAAACACAAAATAAGATATTGTGAAGAAAGCTGGAAACCTATAAACGTTGAATTCCATAGTGTTAGCTTTTTATACTATGGAAGTCAATAGTAACAGGTTTTCAGCTTTCTTCAAAATATCTTCTTTAGTGTTTGACAGAACCACTTGTGGGAGGCTAAATGGTGAGCACATTTCATTTTTGGGTGAACTATACTTTTAAAATAGGGATTCTTTATTGACACTGACAGTTCTGTTGTAGAACATTTAGCATCTGTAGAAACTTTTCATTCTGTAATAAAGTTCTTCACAGTAAAAAAATGTTTTTTTTGGTCTGTATAAATGTTCTTCACTCACATGAAAAAAAAAGGTTGTTTAAAGAACATTTCACTTTAAGACTTTTCCAGGGCATCATTGTGAAAACACTTTTTGGTTCCTCCAGGCACTTTAATATTTTAGTTTTAATGACCAGTCAAAAATATCTCAAATATAAAAATACATATTGTACAACCATTGCTATCCTTTATACACAAATTCAACTTTAAAATCACGGTATATAATAAAAATCATAATGTTTTCATATCATAATGTGCTCATATAAGGGAGCAAAACCAGTTCCCCTCCCTGATAAATCATGTAAGCAAGTCTGCATTGGCAGAATAGTCATTCCCGAAGGCCTTAATAATATTGAGTTCAAAGGGAATTTGTCAGTGATTTAAATACCTTAACAACAAATACCTTTTAAATAACTTAAATACTGTCTTCGCTCATTTGTTTGACACACCTTAACGAATAAAAGAAATGGTGTGCTATTGAGGTGTTACTGTGTGTCAGACACACACACCTGTTGATGACGCACATTTGCTAGTTCAGTAATGGAAATACTATTAATAAATGTGGTTATGCTTGGTTTGTTACTGTGTACCTGTGAATGTATGAGTAATCAGTGTTTATTATTTTCATTCCAAATAACCTGTGATTTTTGACACGTTTTCACAGTTAGTATTAAAGGGATAGCTCATTTAAAACTCAAATCATTATTTATTCACTATTCATTAGTTTCAAACCTGTTTGACTTTCTTTCTTCTTGCCAACTGACTCCTCCATAATATTTGTTTATCCTACTATGGAAGTGACAGTTTGTAACATTCTTCAAAATATCTTCTTTAGTGTTTAACAGAATAAAGAAACTCTTAAAGGAACCATTTGAAAGTAAATAGTAGTACATTTCCATTTTTGAGTGAATTATCCAGCCTGATATGTGCTGAATTATCTCTTCAACATATATGACGCTCACACTGTCCTTTGTTTATTTTGAAGTTGTGTGGATTGTTGTGTGAAATGGGATTCATACTTGTGTGATCGAGGACAACATTATGATGCAGCAATGATTATTCATCTATGATGAAAGCAGCTGACAGAATGTTCTCTGTGTGTGTTTCTATGGACATGTTGTTTAGAAACTCTATTTGAGAAGGCTGACTGTAAAACCTGTTGAACAGGTGAAAGAGTGGGAGAGGAAGACATGAGTTACTGCAGGCTGAGCCCGTCCCGCTCTGATCATGTAAGAGTTGTGCCACTAGCAGGTGCATGACAGAGAACAAATCTATAGCTGAAGAAGAGTACAGGTAGAGGCTACCTGACCGCTTTAAACGGATACTCACATATGGAGCACAAACAGGTACAAATATTGTTTTAAACAAACATAGAAAAAACAACTTTTACATTTTAGTCCTTATTTCAGGTGTGTGATTAGGTCAGTCGGTTGAAGAGTTTGATATAACTTTGATTTTCTTGTTTTATTTGTACTCTATCAGAAATAATGGTACAAAAGCTGTCATAAAAGGACTATATTAAATGTATATATTGTACCTAAGTTCATATATAAGTACTTAAAAAGAAAATAAAGTGGGATGATTTAAAAAGATGCTGGTACATTGACAGCTTTAGTACCTTTATTTCTGATTGTTCATTTTATTTTGACTATTGAGCGAATGGCACTGAAATTCCATTTGTGTGAAATTCTGATCTTTATCTGAATGCTTTTCTTTCTGTGATAAGCTTGTCGTCAGTAGTTGTCATTGTTGTGTCCGAATCGCCAGTTGGATTAGTTGACTTGTATCCATAGTTACTGTCACTAATTATTAACATATATAGAATTAGTAACATAGCTGGTTGCCGAAACATTATTTATAGCAGTTATTAACCTGAGCTATATTACATGTGACGGTGTAACTGATTCACTGAGAGGAATATAAAGTACGTGTTCTAACTAGATACTATCAAAGAGAATAAGACCTGCAACGTGCCTTAGAAAGGAAGGGCAGACTCTGAATTTCACATAATAATCTTTATAAAGAGAAAAACAACACACCCTTAAAAAAGATTTAATAATTCCACGAAGAGCCTTTAAAACATTTAAACGAGTTTACATTACACATCTTACACTTACCGGCCACTTTATTAGGTACACCTGTCCAACAGCTTGTTAATGCAAATTTCTATTTAGCCAATCACACAGTAACTTAGTGCATTTAGGCATGTAGATATATGATCAAGAAGATCTGCTGCAGCTCAAACCGAGCATCAGAATGGGGAAGGAAAAGTGATTTAAGTCATTTTGAACGTGGCATAGTTGTTGGTGCCAGATAGGCTGGTCTGAGCATTTCAGAAACTGCTGATTTACTGGGAATTTCACGCACAACCATCTCTAGGGTTTATAGAGAATAGAAAAATAGAAAATATCCAGTGAGCGGCAGTTTTCTGAGCGTAAATGCCTTGTTGATGCCAGAGGTCGGAGGAGAATGGCCAGACTGGTTCAAGCTGATAGAAAGTCAATAGTAATTAAAAATAACCACTCGTTACAACAGAGGTCTGCAGAAGAGCATCTCTAAACGTAAAACATGTCCAACCTTGAGGCAGATGGGCTACAGCAGCAGAAGACCACACTAGGTGCAACTCCTGTCAGCTAAGAACAGGAAACCGAAGCTACAATTCACACAAAATTGGACAATAGAAGATTGGAAAAACATTGCCTGATCTGATGAGTCTTGATTTTGAATGGTAGGTTCACAATTTAGCATCAACAACATGAAAGCATGGACCCATCCTGCCTTGTATCCACAGTTCAGGCTGGTGGTGGTGGTGGTGTAATGGTGTGGGGGATATTTTCTTGGCACACTTTGGGCCTATTAGTACCAATTGAGCATCGTGTCAACACCACCAGATCTCAATTCATTTGAGCACCTTTGGAATGTGGCGGAACAGGAGATTCACATCATGGATGTGCAGCCAACATATCTGCAGCAACTGCGTGATGCTATAATGTCAATATGGACCAAAATCTCTGAGGAATATTTCCAGTACCTTGTTGAATCTGTGTCACGAAGGATTAGGGCAGTTCTGAAGGCAAAAGGGGGTCCAAGCCTGTACTAGTAAGGTGTACCTAATAAACTGGCCAGTGAGTGTATTTTTGTCACATAAGAAAACTTGTTACACTGTAATTTCAGACTTGATAGTAACACTTTATTTAGATGGTCCCTTTTAAACATTTTGTTGACCACACATAACTTTGGTACAACAGTATGTCAATTACCAGTCATTAAAGGGCATTGTAGACTGCTCAATATTAACACAATATCACTTTAATTTTTAAAGTCTCTCAAAAAACATGATATTGACTTTGTATAGATATAAGTATCTTTGCAAGTAAACTTTCACTTATAAACTTTCAGACAAACTTTCACTTCCTACACTCTGAAAATAAGGTACGCGAGCTGTCACAGATATGGTGCCTTTGTAAAAAGTACACTTTGAAACTTTTTATGTCCTAAATATACACTTAAGGTATTAATTTGTATTTTTAGTGTACCAATATAGATTATTATACAATAAAAAAATATTTTTTCTTGTGTGCAATTCATGCCCTAAATAGGCTCAGTGTTGAGTCTCTACTTTGTACCTGTGCTTCTGCTACACCCCTGCATTTTACTCTTTATGTCGTATATAATAGCTATAAAAGTGAATCTCTGTATAGTAGTGAATAGCTGTAATCAGTTAATATGGGAGCAGAAATGAATATACATTTTGAAATACATCTTTTGTAACAAATTTGCTTGTATGCATAAAAATGCACCTAAATTGTTGAGAGAAGGCTTGAGGTGTCTAAATTGCTCTGTCTGCAGCATGCTGTCTTTATCATTTCAATATGTGTATGTGTTCATGGATATTAACAAATGCATGTGTTAGTTCAGACAGTAGCAGAAAAAAAGGAGAATTTTGGATTCAATGACATTTAATTCTCTACTATCCCTGCAATCATATATACTTGCTGTGTCAAAAACACGTTCAAATATACCAGAAATAAAGTTTTAGAATAGGTTTAGAATAATGCTCAAGAATGTTGTCATTGTTAGTGAAATTAATTTGGCCAGATAGACAAGAATAGTATAGACATAAGGATTAACCGCACCCTCTAGTGGTGAGGAGGACATTTAGAGAGAAATTTAGAGAGTTTAGAGAGAAATGTCATATGAATACACACACCCAAAAAGATGATAGATAGATAGATAGATAGATAGATAGATAGATAGATAGATAGATAGATAGATAGATAGATAGATAGATAGATAGATAGATAGATAGATAGATAGATAGATAGATAGATAGATAGATAGATAGATAGAGAAAGAGAGACAGATAGTAGATTTTATTATATTAAATGATTAAATAATTAACATAAATATATTGTGAATGTAATTCAGTGACTGAACAGTGTTACTAGATCTGCATATTTTTTTGCTCGCTGCTTTTATACAATCTCTTTTTTCACGAATACAGACTGAGGCTCCTCCCTCATATGACTCTGTGGTGACTCAGAACATCACACCTCCACCTTCATATCCCAGTCTACAAATATTGTCGACCACTCAAGTCCAACCGTACTACATACCTCAGCCATTACCTCAAATTCCTGCTCCCCATGTAGTAGAGACAAGTAAAACTTAATAACACAAACTACCTACAAACACATCTCAAAATCATAGTCAGTGAATTGAAGTTGAGCTATAATCACCATTGTGGTTTCCTTCCAGCAGTCCCACAACAGAGAACTCAAGCTGTCTCATACAGGAGCAAAAGGTGTTGCTATGGAGGATCCACTGGCATTGCTGCTGTAGTTGTCCTGGTTGTAATTGCTGTGTATCTGGGAGGTAAGCATATTATATGTAATTATGTTATACACTGTATCTGATTAGCATCATATTCGCTAATCTAATACAATGCGTCTTTTTCTCCTAAATGTGTAAACTTTTACATTTTTTTGTAATCAGGGCTTACACTTTAAAAAGATATCCTGTAGTTTGTGATTCATCCATGTTTTCCAGTTTTCTGTATTTTGTAATATATGATTTTTAAAATATAGTTATGTTTTTGAATTGCATTAAGGGGCTTTGATCTTTCTTCCAACCATTTTTGATGTTGAAAAGTTTTTAAAAGGTGACTTTTATTGACATCTTTAAAAGTATGAAGGGATATATTGTCTGTCTTGGTGTTTAAATTACAGTATAAAAAACCAAGCACTTCTCACACTTTTTTGTTATCTTACACGTGCTGCTTCTAATTCAGGTTGAATAAAACCATGCAAAATTTGTAATTACTAATAAGCAGCTAATATCTTAAAATTGCAGGTTATACGCCACTGTCACGATCAGCAGCAATCTAGCCTATCCAGATCGTTGGAGAACCACACATATGTCACTTTAATAAACTGCAACTCCCATCATGCACCTTAGACACACCAGTCCCTGATTCCCCGATTACACACACACATGCAGACTTTGCTGAATCTTGTTCCATTGTAACATTTCTAAATGTTTTCCTTGCCTTGTCATTTCTTGTTTTTTGATCTTTGCTTTGTTCATTGCTTTATGTTGTCTTGCCGCCTGTCCCGAACATTCACCTGTTTTGCTGACTACGCTTTTGGATTACCTTCATGTTACTGTTTGCTCCTGTTTGACCTCTGCCTGCCTGACGATTCTTTTAATAAATCTGCGCACGGATCCTCAACTCTGTGGTTATCCAACTCAATCTTACAACCGCTAGTTAATGGGGAGAATTTATTCTTAAACACATAACCAAAATTTCTTTTAAAACTTGTTAAACATTTACATATTGTATATTCTTTCAAAATATTACATTTTAACATCAATGAGCAGATATCAAGGTTCCAAATGGCAAGTGTAAAAAATCTGAAATTATGATATAATATTAACAGTAAATTTACAGAGTCTTTTTACAATGTACATTTAAACTTTGAATTTGGTGCAAACTCCAGAAAGAGTAATTTTACATGGCTTCACTTTTAAGTCACTTTTCTGCTGATGCACAGTGCGTTATGGACCGTCGCTGTGGGCTTTTTCTGAGAGAGACGCAGAGACAGACACATGTCCCGGTTCAGCAGTCAACTGTGATGGGAGGAAAGACTGTTCTCTAGGCAGTGATGAATCTCAGTGTGGTCAGTGTCAATCATCTCAAAAGTGACTTTTTAAAAATATTTTTCCAGTTGTAAATTATAAACTGGTATGCCTTCAATCTTCCTATGCAGTGCGGATTGGTACAGGAAATGAATTGCAGGTATTGACCTCTAGGTCTGGGAGTTTTCTTCCAGTCTGCGCACAGGGCTGGAATAAAAACATAGCTGACCAAACCTGCCAACAGCTTGGCTTCAGACAGTAAGTATAACATATATCCATACACACAAGAAATGCAGATTAGTCTTGTGATAACTCAAAAATTTGTCAATCTTACATTAAAATATTTTGTTTCAAATATATGTTTTGAGATTTTAGATTTTTTTTTAAATATAATTTCCACCAGGTACTCACTATGAAAATAGTCATGAATTCTGACAACACATTGAATCACAAGCAAGCAATAACAAAGATAACAGTGTGAATGTATATTCATGTGTGTTTGGGTTTGTGTGCTCCACAGGAGTTATTCGTATGGTGTCGTGAAATCCAACTCACCTATGTTTCAGAGTGTGAACAGTCAGCTTGTAAACAACATCCAGGGGAGAGTTAACACTAGGTAAAATAAATTGCTTGCAATTGCTTTGCTTTTTTACAAAACAATTTACTGCTTTTTTACAGCAGTTACAGCAGGTTTAAAGAATTTACAAATCACATATTTACAACATACAACCTCAAAGGAAAACAGTTTTTTCATGATGTACATGTATATAAAGTATACAAAATATATGAGTTTGTACAATTGAAGTTTAAGCTTCAATTTTCCATCTTCCATCATAGAATGTAATAAACTAGTTAAATACCGAATATGGCAAAACAGCACAAGAGAAACTATTATCCATAAACTATTATATCTATTATGTGAAATTGTAATATATTTTTTTTATATATTTGCCAAGTGCTGTTTAATAGAACAACAACATTTTAGTATTGGGGACAAACTATCAAATATTAATACATAGTATTTTCCTTCTGGAGAAATTGAAGAGTTTTGATGATAACCTCTAAATGCTGTCTGATTTTTTTCTGAGGCTGCAGTGTTTAATTTCAATAATTTTACCATAAGTGCAAAGAATAGGTTATTGTCACCATTGCCTTTAAAGTGAAATAACTGAACATAAACATACAAGGCTAAGAAAAATACATTTTAGAGGAAAAATCCAGACGGAACTTTGATGTTTTTGCATCTGAACTCATCAATTATTATTTTAGTTTAGTTTGAATAGGTTTATTATTTTTTATATTTTTTTTCTTTACAGATTTTAAGGTCAATATTATTAGTCCCTTTAAGAAAATATTATTTTTTGATTACCTACCATTGTCCAATGACTTGCCTATTAACTTAACTTGCTAACTAATTAGTAAAGCTTTAAACCACACTTTAAGCTGAATAGTATCTTACAAAATAACTAGTGAAATATTATACACTCTCATCGCAGCAAAGATAAAAGAAATTAGTTATTAGAAATTATTAATTTTGTCTTCAACTGTATAAAATGTAATGTTTTACAATTTGGCCAATTTAAATGATGATAGATGTAGGGGAACAAACGGCACTATGTATTTATGCTGTGTGTGTGTGTGTGTGTGTAACAGTGTTGTTGTTGTAATTGTAGTTCATCGTGTCCCGATCAGCAGAGTGTGTCCCTGCAGTGCTGCGGTGAGAAGTTTACACCGATGCCACATGTTAATGCTTCTTGATAATGCTATCTAAGTCTAAACAGTCTCTTCCTGATCAGATTGTGGAAGGCCACCAGTTTCATCAAGGATTATTGGGGGAAGCGTGGCTGCTGAGGGTCACTGGCCATGGCAGGCCAGTCTGCATTTTCAAGGAAAGCACTCATGTGGAGGATCTCTGGTGGCTCCAGACTTTATCATCACTGCTGCTCACTGCTTCCCCAAGTTAGTACACCGTATATTAGACAGATGGACAGAAGAGTTGATGACAAGTCTACATGTTAGACACAATGTCGTAGTCTGTAGTTATAAATAATATTAATAAACAATTTAGGAAATACTATCAAAAATGGCTGTATGAACAGATAAATTAATATGCTTTTCCCCCTCTTCTTAGAGAAACATCTGGCTCTCAGTTGCCTAGTAACTGGAAAGTGTACATAGGTTTCGTGTCCCAGCTCAAGCTGCCCAGTCCGTATTATGTAAAGGAAATCATTTTACATGAAAAGTACAACCCAACAACAAAAAACTATGACATCGCCTTGCTGAAACTCAATAAACCTGCCAGTGAGTTTGAGCTGCACACAGAGCTGCAAATAATTAACCCATATCCTTCTCTCCTGTTTTGCTTTTGAGTGTCTCTCATTTGGCAAAAGATTAACTTTGTGTGTGTGTGTGGTTCAGAAATATTATACAAGTAAATTTTGATCATTTGCATCTTAAAATGTTTGTTTTTAAAGATTTTCTCTTTTTTTTCCTTCTTTTTCTGATTCTTAATTTATTTATCTATGAAATATTTCTATGAAAAAATATGCTGCCTATATACTTTACACTCACTGGCCACTTTATAAGGTACATATTACATATTACTCATCGTCACGTTCAGCAAAGATGATTCAAGCTTTATGACATGGCACGTTATCCTGCTGGAAGTAGTTTTCAGAAGATGTGTTCATAAAGTGATGGACATGGACAGCAACAATACTCACAATTGTGAGTATTGTTGCTGACCATGAAAATATTGTGCCAAAATATAATAAATATAAAAATATACCCCAGAGCATTACACCACCACCAGCCTGAATCGTTTATACAAGGCAGGATGGGTCCATGCTTTCATGTTGTTGATGTCAAATTTTGACCCTACTATCTGAATGTCGCAGCAGAAATCGAGACTCATCAGACCATGCAACGTTTTTCCACTCTTCTATTGTCCAATTTTGGTGAGCCTGTGCGAATTGTAGCCTCAGTTTCCTGTTCTTAGATAGGAGTGGCTCCCTGTGTGGTCTTCTGCTGCTGTAGCCCATCTGCCTCAAAGTTGGACATATGGTGTGTTGAGAGATGCTCTTCTGCACACCTCGGTTGTTATGAGTGGTTATTTGAGTTACTGTTGCCTTTGGAACCAGTCTGGCCATTCTCCTTTGACCTCTGGCATCAACAAGGCATTTGCCCCCACAAGTGCCTCTCACTGGATATTTTTTTTTTCTGACCCTTCCCAGAGATGGTTGTGCGTGAAATTCCCAGTAGATCAGCAGCTTCTGAAATACTCAGACCAGCCTGTCTGGCACCAACAACCATGCCACGTTTAAAGTCACTTAAATCACCTTTCTTCCCCATTCTGATGCTCGGTTTCAACTGCAGCAGATCGTCTTGACCATTTCTACATGCCTAAATGTATTAAGTTGCAGCCATGTGATTAGCTGATTAGAAATTTGCGTTAAAGTGCAGTTGGTCAGGTGTACCTAATAAAGTGTCCGGTTAGTGTATATATGGTTAGATTTTGGTACTCAAGGAAAGGATGAGGATTAAAGGGATATCTTACCCAAAAAATTTTATTTGCTGTTAATTTTCCAATATTAATTTTGACAAAAAAAGTTCAATATTAAACAAGTCATTTTTTATGTCATTAAACATTAAATACCTTAAAAAAGATTCTTGACAAAGCTGAAACAGCTGTCCTTTGTGATTAAAAAAATAACAATAAATGCCTACCAGTTCTTTGAGAGATAAATAAAATAAAAATATACACATACAGGCAAAACAGAATAACCGTGACTCATAGTGGTATGCTAAGGTCTTATAAAGTGAAAGACTGCAGTGAAAGAAATTACACTGAATTTGAAATGTCTTTGCAAGAAAAACTGAATATTATTTATAACATAATTATTTTTAATAGAGTCTCTGCAAATGTTATATGTGAACAGAGGCTCTATTTACTTACAGAGGTTACATGATTGCTACATAGGTTACATATTTTGCAATTTCTAGGATAAGCACTTTAAGTAGGCTACAATTTTGATGAGCAATACACAATGTACACATATTCTATCAAAGAGCTGTTGACTTGCATTCTGTGAACCACCAAGGTTCAAGGTTGAAGGTTCAAGCCCAAACTCTTCTTCAATGTTCTACTAAAGAGTGAGAGTGGGCAAATGAACAGGAAATAGTTATTTTTGGGTGAACTATCTCTTTATGCCTTAAGTACTTTACATGATGTACAATACGTGAACATTTATGCAAATCATGCTTCAATAAGAAGCACTTTGGAGCACTAATGTGTTTTCTATTTGTCATTAAAGGCGATGTAGAGCCCATATGCCTGCCTGTGATTGGCCAGACGTTTCCACCTGCCAAACAATGCTGGACAACTGGTTTTGGAGTTATTCGACAAGGCAGTAGTATGTATATGCGCATGTATTCAGATTTAGTTTAAGTTTACATTTATTCATTTGTGTATTAAAAACACTAATGTAATGTCTCAATGTGTGTGTTTGCAGATAGTGTTTCCACTTCTCTAATGGAGGTCACAGTAAGCCTGATAGACTCGAGTGTGTGTAACTCACCTAATGTTTACAATGGAGAAATCACCGAGAACATGCAGTGTGCTGGAGACCTTAGAGGAGGAAAAGACTCGTGCCAGGTTATACACACTTATTGTCGAAAGCTTGCTGTTTTGACATGAAAATACTGCCACCTTGTGTTAAAATATTATATTGTAGTTTAACCTTTTACTGTTCGTGCTTTCATTCAGTATCATATTTTCTCCTTACCTTTTTATTCTCTCTTTAGGGTGACAGTGGTGGTCCATTGGCATGTAAATCAAATGATGGTCAATGGTTTCTCACAGGCGTAACAAGTTGGGGAGAAGGCTGTGGACAGGTGAACCGTCCGGGGGTCTACAGTGATGTAGCCAAATATTTAATGTGGATATATAGCAAGATGCAGGTAAACACAAAAGCATTTTCTCTCTCTCTCTCTCTCTCTCTCTCTCTCTCTCTCTCTCTCACACACACACACACACACACACACACACACACACACACACACACACACACACACACACACACACACACACACACACAACCCTAACCTTAAACCTACAGTGTAAAAATTCTTGGTTCCACACAATTGTTTTTTTTATTGGGACAACATGAAGGAATAATATTAACTTATTTTATTCATTTATTTATGTATTTATTTATTTATTTATTTTTTTTTTAAATTTAAGTGAATTGAACAGACAACAATTAAGATATCACCCCAGAAAACTCAAGAATTGTGTTGTTTCAGCTCATTTTATAAAGGCCTTTTGAAAAATGGAAACATCAGCAATATCCAGTGGTGGAAAGAGTACTGAAACATCATACTTCAGTAAAAGTACCACTACTTCCCTAAAAATGTAGTGCAAGTAGATTAAAAGTATCTGTTATAAATAATGCTAAAAGTATGAGTAAAAAATAGCCTTTTTAAAACTACTCAAGAGTAGTGAGTAGTGAGTATTACCCTGTGAAAAGCTGATGCATTTACATGTAATTTGTAAATGTGTGTAAACGTAACAGTCTGCAGTGCATTTAGTCATTGCCCAGCAGGCACAAGACATCATAAGATGTTAATATTAGATTAGGTTCAGGTCGTGATGTCAGGTGACCAAAATTCAATAGCCAGCGTCTAAGCATAACTTTATTCTGATGTCAAATAACGACGTCAAATGACACTGATATTTGGTTGATTATAGGTTTTGTTAGAAAGTGACCAAATTCCATCGTCGAATACTGACATTTATTCATCAGGTATGGCAACCAATATCCAACATCTAATAGACATCATAGTGGTAACGTCCACACAACGTCAAGCTGTAACATTATCAGATGTTGATATTTGGTTGATTTTAGGTTGGACGTTTTCTAATTCCCATAGACAGAAAAAGTATAGTGACTGCAGGTTGAAGGAAAGTAGTGGAGTAAAAGTAACAAAACTGCACTAAAAATGTACTCAAGGGAAAGTAAAAGTACACATTTTTAAAACTACCTACCAAATTACAATTTCGGAGAAAAACTACTCAATAACAGTAATTTGAGTATTTGTGATTTATTACTTTACACTACAGGCAATGTCCTCATCATTGCCCATCTCCTTTGTATGTATAATAGTTGTGTCCTATGGCATTATACAGCGTTGTGACATGATATGTCACACCAGGCCTGTAGCCAGGGGGGCTATTTAGTATGCCATCATAAATTGTGAAAATAACCAATAGAAGAAGGCTTTAAGACGAATAAGCAATAAAACAACCAATAAAAGAAGGCTTTAATTATTTAAATGGACAAATTCTGACTGAGGAAATGAGCTAGCAAGAAATGTTATTTGCATATAAGCTACAGTTTTAACAGATTGCAATATTTTTTATGTCTTTGTTTGTTTTTTGAGATTGATGACAATTAATGAGCATTTAACAGATTAGTATTTTTTCATATTTCTAATATTTACATTACATATGAAACTGTAATAACTTGCAGTTTAAATGTACATTTGTAAATAAACATACATTTTTGTAAACAAACTTTTTTTTGTACAAAAATGTAGGAAGTATTTTTGTTGCATCAAAAAGAATGGTAATGATAACCATCCCACAAATTAATCCAGCACAAATTAGTGCTTAAAATGTCACTAAAATGCAGTATTTGAACCTTATAATTTGAGGCGAATAACTGCAAAAAGGTCCACCCCTTTTAATAGGCTGTGGCTACGGGCCTGCACACAGACTTTCACAAATGACAATTCTGCCATCAAAAATCTATTTAAGTTTCTTTCTTCTGAAACACACGCAAATATTTTGAAAAAGGCAGATAGCTAGCACTCACTGACTTCCATAGTATTTCTTCTTCTACTATGGAAGTCGATGGGTCCCAGCAACCAGCATTCTTTAAAATATCATCTTTCGTGTTGAACAGAAGAAAGCAGCTCATAAAGGTTTAACATTTTTGGCTGATCTATCACTTATTTCTAAAATCGCTTTTCTCTCACAACTATTGTTCTATTCCTGTCTCTTTAATTACAGCAAGCACGACCATGACCTTCGACAATCATGAAGAACACACTCATTGCAGATTTGATAGCAGTTTTGCACAGAATGGAACATTTTTTTCTCATTTTTAAAAAAAGTGAAACAGTAAAGCAACATACATTTAGAGTAAATACATTTTTTAGTAAGACTTTAAATTCATAATTTAAATCATGAAAATTCACTTATTTTTTACTGTGTAATTCAATGTATTTATTTTCTAGACATACTGTATGTACTGGAATAAAAACCTGGACTACATTACTGTGTCATGAGGAGTTTTTTTTTAAATAAATAGGAGTTAAATAGGAGTTCATAAAACGAGGAGGCCATCTACTACTAGATCTGCACTGGTCTAAATAAAATAATAGCCAAGCCTCGTACTGATGTTTTTGCTGTGTATTTTTTCTCTCTCTCTCTCTCTTTTCAGCAGACACCGTGAAAACGTGTCCCAGACAATTCAGAAAAAAGAACTTTCGTTATAGCTTCTTTCTGCCACTATGTTAGTTTGAACCATAATGCAATGCTCCCACACTTCACTCAACTTAAACATGTGATCTGTAATATTCCAAAAGCAACTTTTTCTTTAAAAATCCCATAACTTCAAACATTTCAAGGGTGCACATTCTCTGCTTTGAAATTAAATGTCACATTCGTACATTCTGGCAAGTATTTTAAACAATAAATGCACTCAAATTAATATGAGTTTATAACAGAAACACAAATATACAAAACCTATAAACACAAAAATGTGTCTTTGACAATTACAACTTCTGTTTAATAAATAGTACATGAAATTAGTCTGAATAACTTTAAATAAAGCTGCATAATTTACAGAATTAGGTGGTGCGGTGGCTCAGTGGGTAGCGCTGTCTACTCACAGCAAGAAGGTCACTGGTTTGAGTCCCAGCTGGGTCAGTTGGCATTTCTATGTGGAGTTTGCATGTTCTCCCCGTGTTGGCGTGGGTTTCCTCTAGGTGCTCCGGTTACCCCCACAGTCCAAAGACATCCACTTTAGGTGAGTTGGGTAAGCTAAATTGGCCGTAGTGTGTGTGGATGAGACATATAAAACATATGCTGGATAAGTTGGTGGTTCATGCCGCTGTGGCGACCCCTGTTTAATGAAGGGATGAAAAGAAAATGAATGAATTTACTGAAATATTATTACAAATGTACAACTAAATTTTCACTCATGAATGTGAACTCTGCCATTATTTGCACACCTTCAATTTGTTCCTATGAGTTTCAGTTGAAAACAAAAGAGGAACGTAATCTTCTGTGTTTATCAGAATAAAGAAACTCACGCAGGTTTTGAGACAAGCAGAGTTATTACAGAGTAAATAATAAAGTATACATTACGTTTTACGAAGAGTGTTGCAGAATATTGAGCTGAAGTCTTCTTTAAAACATCAGGTTGTGATGGATGATTTTAGCTTACATTCGCTGAAAACTGAAACAGTATTACTGTCCTTGAAGACAAATTCTTTTCAGTTTGAGAAGGTGAACGTTGGCAGGATCTTTTAGTTTAGTCCTAATCATTAACTTTGGTAAGAATACCCCACTTAGTCTCTTTATATACTTTGATAGATTTATCTTCCAGCTTATTAAAGTGAGAGTATAGCATAAGGCTAAAGAGGCTATAGTGTATAGTCCTAATTTTACACTTGCTCTTATTTGAGAGACGTTCGGTATATTATGTAAATTGTATGAATACTCCCACTCGTGACTAAAGTGATTAGTTATGTATTTGTTCCACACTTCTTTATGGGATCTTTAGAAAATTACTGTTTAATTTTTAACTGCCCACTGAAACTGAACTAACAGATCACAGCTTGCTGTCCTTGTGAAATCTTAGTGTAATTGGTCAACAACTTTTAAAGTATATAGTAGTGTTTTAAAATATCACTGCATAAACAGCTCATTTGGATACTTTATATCATAAATTGTTAGTTCATTTCTGTCCTTCATAGATTAAATCTGTCTCTCATGGTCTGCTTGTTTCTCGATGATCATCAATGACCTTGTCAGTTTATTGCAAGGGCACGTTCACAACTGCACAATGGTTAGATATTAAGAAATGCCCTAAAGGCTTGTGTTTATGTGCATGTTGTGAGTTTACTGGATAAGACATGTCAGACCGAAGGGTTTGAAGGTCATTATTTGTAAGCACACACACATACACACACTTCATCTCCTCCCCATAGCTCTCGCTGATTTGCCATTCGCTCATCCAGTCAAAATTAAATTTACAAATCCGAGAGTTTAAGGAGCTCCCTGCAAACACTCAGAATCCTCTGTCACTTACAGTCTCACACAGATACAGGGGTGGAATTATCAGCTCTGACATATTTGAGATCCTGCAGCACATCAAAAAGATGGGAGTGGGTAAGTCTGATTCAACTTTATTCAACTTTTATTAATCAGCATTGAATGATGAAAACCTTTACCTCACAGCTTATGGAAACCAAAAATCTGCCATCGTGTATTGACAATGTCATTTCAGTAATTGTATCTTTCTCCCTTTTGTGGAACACAAAACAAGATCTTTTGACAAATATTGATCATTATAGTTTTTGTTGATGACAAATTTTCAATTTAGGGGGGGTGAACTATCAATTTCATAAATATTCAGATGTTTTTCAGAATTTCAAATAATAATCTAAGTTTAAAGTTAACATGATCATCTTACTCTCTTTCTCTAAAGAAAGTCCTGAGCATTCAGATGCTGATTTCACCTATGGTAAGAGTGCCTCACAGTTACTTACATTCCTTAATGAAAGTGATGATATATGGTATGCATGAAATGTGGTCATTACCTTTAAAGAGTTTGTGTTTTTTACATATGTTAAACATATTTAAGTGTTTTTTACTCATATTTTAAGAATTTAATGCTCAATTTCATGTGGATTTGTAGTATTGAGTCAAGTTATTTAATTACTTTTTGAGTAACTAGGTTACTTTCTAGGCAAAATAATTAGAAAAAAAAATTAAATACAATTGTAATAATGCAACTAGGGGTGTCACGGTGGCTCAGTGGTTAGCACTGTTGCCTCACAGCAAGAAAGTCACTGGTCCGAGTCCTGGCTGGGTCAGTTGGCATTTCTGTGTGGAGTTTGCACGTTCTCCCTGTGTTTGCGTGTGTTTCCCACTGTCTAAAGACATGCGATATAGGTGAATTGAATAAACTAAATTAGTCATAGTGTACGTGTGTGAATGTGAGAGTGAATGGGTGTTTCTCCATACTGGGTTGCAGATGGAAGGGAATTCGTTGTGTAAAACATATGCTGGATAAGTTGGCGGTTCATTCCGCTGTGGCGGCCCTTGATGAATAAAGGCACTAAGCTAAAGGAAAATGAATAATGCAACTAGTAATTGATAACTAATTACTTTTTTGAAGTAACTCACCCAAAACTGGTTGCAAATTAGTTTGTTTCCACCTTATTTTATAAAATTCAAGACAACTGCTGAACTTCCTAAACAAGTCTTTAGAAACACTTATGGACATCTTAACCATAACTATATCTCTGCTTATGTCAGATTATGAGTTAATCAGAAGAGGAGGACTGATCTTCGCAGCTGTTTTGTTCTGTTTGGGCATGGTTATCATATTCAGTAAGTTTACCATCCATGCAGTCTACAGCATCTCCTCTACATACATTATAATAAAGAATCGAAGCTTCCTTGGTTAACCAACTGTTATCTTCTTTTCTTACAGGCAAAAAACTCAGATGTGGAAAGTCCTCTGCTACGTGAGGCACATATATAAGACTTTTACAATAAAAGATACAGTAAAAGATAAAGCGCTCTCTCTCTTTCTCTCTTACCTCTTGATGTGTCTTCTGTGCAGGCATGAAGATAATGGTGATCTTTGACCTCTTCTTCGTTAACCTTCACTGTGAGCATTAACATACAGTGTTGCACTTTTAGCAGGAATATTTCCAGTCAGCAATACATCATGTTTTATGAATTACAGGCTTTAACTTTCTGTCAGGAGAGTGTTCTTAAATGACATTTAAAAGGTCATTGCCTTTCTTACTTCGCTAGACATTTGTCTCAGAAATTCTCAATAAAAATACAGATTCACAATGTAGAAGTGTATTATATTACAAAGAATAATGGACATATTTGCATTTATTCAATGACCACAACTGCCGTTTTCTTACTATGTTTCACGCAGGTATTGGGACACTTCAATATTTTCACCAAGGATGACAATATCTTTTTCACTTTTGGGTTTCAACTTACATCCATATATAGTCTGCTGAATACTGTAATTTTTTTAGTTCACAAGATCTGACACAATGTATGCAATCACAATAAAATGTTCAAAATGACTCATAAATTGCCCAGTCTGTGGAAATAATGTTATGATTATACAGTCCTACAAGATTATATTTTATTTTTAAAAGAATTGTATTAAATTCTTCTCATATATATATATATATATATATATATATATATATATATATATATATATATATATATATACAAATTTAAATTTGTTACAAATTTACAAATGAGAGAATTTTAGAGTTTATTTATTACTCCTATTTAAAGTTATTCTGACAGGAGTTTTTAAGTTACATGTATTCTGAAACACAGTATAAAAACTTAAGTTACATACAAGAACACTGATCAAAATTAGAGAACTCTTTCAGATGTCTCCCATTTATTGGTGTTTAACTGGCACATGTTGGTAATCTGACAAACCCTATTTAACTTGCAGTTTAATGTTTCACTGCCTTTTTGCAAGATGATGAGCTGTTCTCTACAGTGACTGCATCCTTCCAACAGCAGGTCGTCCAGATGAAGGCTGAAGCAATGACACTTTCAGCCACAACAAGAGAAGCTCAATGATTTCTAGAATATTGCAACTTTACACTGTCACTAACTCATTTAAGTCCCCCCAAAATGACTGGAAAGATATTAAAGATAAATGCTTGTGAGGACAAAAGGTCTCTGAGGGCTGTCGGATGAACGCTACAGCTGAAATTGCTCACGAGTTCAGCTCTGTACAGGGTAAGGATTTGTCTCTTCATAAACTGTGTCGACGTTTAGAGAATTTAGACTGAAGGCCCAGTCTGTTGACAGCAGGCCTGTAGCCAGGGGGGATTCGGGTGGTTCGAAAGACCCACTCCCACTGACAAAGGTTCAGAATTTTTCCAATACATGAGCTCATTTGTTCTATTTTGACTGCTAAGCCATCATAAATTGTGAAAATAACCCATAAAGGCTTTAAGACCAAGCAGAATCTGACGTAAGTAAAGTCATGTTTCACTTCTGACCTTCTGTATTGCTGTTACATAGAGAAAGCATTTTACAAGTAACCTTTATTCTTTATTTTATCCACCAAAAGTGGATCATTTTAAAGTTAATGTTAATACTAATCTGGCATATTGTTGTTAAATCATGAATTTTCAAATGTACTTTTTTTTTTTACAAGAAAGAATAGAAAAATCACCACACTCTATATTATTATTATTATTATTATTATTATTATTATCTTTTAATTGTTCCTTACTCAAATGGTGAAATTCTGAGAAAAGTTGAGTATGCTGCTCAGTTTGTTGTTGCCTAATAAACAACAATAGGGTACAGTTTTTTAATTTAAAACTTCAACCGATTTCATTTTTTCCCCTAATGATATATGTAATACATTTGTATTTTTTAAATAAGTATTTTTCTTTGTATTTCTTTATTCTAAATCTTTAGGAAATATTTTTAGTACAAGTGTGGTTATGTCGGTGACCATCAGACAAGCTAATCCAGCTAAAAATAGTGCTTAAAATGTCACTAAATGCAGTATTTAAACCTCGTAATTAAATAGAAAATTACTGCACAAGGTCCACTTTTTGTAAACAAAAAAAGAAAAGAAGAAGAAGCACCCATTTCACCAGGCTGACCACATGCTTGATATGTGAGAATGATGTCCTGTGGCTGCATATGTGCTGAAGTCATTAAAAAAAGGCCTCCACACTTAATTAATAGCCTAATAAAAAGTGTGTAGTTAATCTGTTACAGCTTTTGCTGTCCTCATTTTTTTTGTTTTCAAAATGTTTTTGTTGAAGTGCCTTGGCTGTTTCCAACCAAAACTGAAAATTTCACATAATGAACAGTGAAGATAATTGACAAGAGTGGATTTAACCAATAAGCGAGGTAAGCGGCCGCTTAGGGCCCCAGGACATCTGGGAGCCATCAATAAATATTGAGAAGTATAAATTATACCTATATAAACTATATATATTACACCGTTTTCTACCATATTTTGTATGGTGAGAGTTAAATACAATTTTAACGTAATTAAATATTATTCAATATACAACCAAATATATTCATTCATTCATTTTCTTGTCGGCTTAGTCCCTTTATCAATCCGGGGTTGCCACAGCGGAATGAACCGCCACAACCAAATATAATACTATTATAATAATGTAATGTTATGTAGTAATAATATATTTATTACAAAATAAAATATCCATCATAAAGCGCAGTCCAGCAGTCAGTTTATTAAAAAAATATATTATTTTTAGTTGTAAATTTATTTCAAGAAAACTAATTATTTAAAATATAGAGATTGCATTCATTTAACATGTTGAAAAGAAGATATAGTGATAAAAATACAGCAATAAAAATAAATATTAAAAAAGTAGGGTGCATTTCAAAACTTGGGCCCTATGGCTGGAATTGCTTAGGGCCCTAAAATCACTAAATCCGCCCCTGTATATTAAAGAGCATAAATTGTCTAATTTTGACCTCTACTCTAAAACAAATTATTTAATGAGTGTAAAATCTGGCAACGTGTTATTCCAGAGCACGTGACGCGCATTATATTTCCAGATACAGCTTCGCACAGTTATTTTTAGACTTGTGTATACGATCAGAATCATCTGCAACAACATCAATCACTGTGTCTGTGAAAGGATGCTGCTTCGCCTTTAGGTCGGCTCTGCGTCCGCGCGCGCGCGCTCCAGCTCGGCTCCTGTAATTGGCTCAGCGCTGTGCTGTTGTCCATGCGCCACTGGGCGAGTCTCGGCTGTCTCAGTAACCCTCCTTTATCCTCAAAAAAGGAGAGCGAAAGAGGGCAGACTCGGAGTTGGGCTCGGGCGGAGGGACCGCCATTATCGGGAGGCTTGGGCAACCACTTTCGCCCTCGCGCAGAATGTACACATCTTAGCATTTCAAAGACACGCGTGGTCCAGATTGCTCGTGATTTGGCAACGAAAAACTGGATGTTGGGTCTCAGTGTAAAGGCATCGCTGCATGCTGTCTGCACACGGCGAAATCAGCGTTTTATGGCCACAACAAAGGGCATTATAATTGATCAAATCCAACGTGCTTAGGCCGGAGGAAGAATTAAAAACAAGCCTTTTTCAACACGGAAACGACTGGCCTCCAAGAACGGACATTTCTTTGTTTGGATATGTTAGCCGTCGCTGGATTTCCACAGCCGTTTCTATGCGAACGCGAGATCTGTAAGTTGCGCCTGACAAAAATATCCCCTGGAAACTGCAAGTCTGTCAAGCCACAGTCAAAGAGCCCCCGGGGAATCTAACGTCCTCTGCTTTTTACCTAGTCTTTTGTTTGCTTTTATTTCTGGTTTCCAACAACATTGGCCGAGCCGGTGGTAAGCCCTCTCGCGGTGGCCTGGCCGAGGAAAGAGGGATTGAGCAGGGAGAAGAAGGACGTAGAAAGGCACTGGTATGTATGTATTCTCAGCGGGGTGTTTCAATAAAAACAACATTAATAAGCAAAGTAAAACGTGTCACCTGCCACTTTACAGTATTCCGTCGTTTAAGAAGCATATGAATCGACTATGTTTCAGTAAGCGGCGTTCGTAGTGCGGTGTGTGCAAATGCATAAAGTGAGGACTGTCTTTTGTGCAGGCAGCGCCTTGGCTGCATCGAAAACGGATTTAATCTGCACTCTTATAATCTTAGAATGTTGTAAGTTGGCAGCCCTGTTTTTTTCACGTGATGTGAACCTTGCTACTGAATTGCAGAGTATTTAATTGTAGTATATGCAACGTAGAGGAGTTGTTGTATTGTAAGTGTATATTCCCATTGAAATACATGGGGAAAATGTCTCAGACAGTAAAGTGCAATGTTTGTTGCAGAATCACACAGGCAGCTGAGACGCTTAGGAAGGCAATTCTGAAGTATGACATCTGCATTACGTAGATTTGACTATGTTGGGCCTACTTTAAAAAAAAAGTCTGTTGTTTTCTTTCTGTGGAGTTTTAACTTTAAGATGAGGATTTTGCTTTACTAATGTGTGTGCATCAAACTCTTAATTTTTCCAATAAACACACTGGACGTAATAGATTTTTTAAATGCAACAAGATGGCATAAGCCAGTACAGGGCTGTCAGATCATCAGGTTGTCTCTTGGTGTGTCAGCTGAAGGTGAGCCTAAACAGATGGTAGACTCTAATGTCATATAGCAAGCAGTCAAATGGCATTGTCACTTGCACCCATTTGCTCTGCACCCCGGCTTGGGATCTTTTAGTCTGGAGGAGCCCAAACTACGGCCTGCTGGCCAAACTTGGCTCATGTTAACCTTTGATTTGGTCTGCCATCCCATCTGAGAAGTGGAAGAATAATGGGGATGGTTTAGATATTGTCATTTCAAATCTAATGTACCCTTTTGTTTTATGATTAAAAGTTATCTGAAATTCAATGTTTCAATTAAATATTGAAAATTAATCGGATTTAGTTTACTGCTATATAGAGGACAATGCAGAGAGCTTGGTGAGCAAATCAAGTATGTATTCAGTATTGAACTCCATCATTCACCATGTTTTGTATTGCAATATTGCAATAAAATATATTAAAAGTTACTCTGCATTAGTTAATACGATTTAAATTCAAATTACATTTATTTTTAAGTATTATGAAATAAATTAGCAAATTAACCATGGCAACTTTTAATATAATGCAGTTTGGTATATTTACCTTCAGCCCACGGCTCATAATGATATTTGGTTTTTGGCCCTTTATATGAAAATGTTTGGGCACCCCTGTTCTAGTCTAAGCTTCATAGTTGCACAGGGTCTGTATTTGAGATGTTGAATTACACTGGGAAAATACAAATAAAAGAGTTTAAATTGCATACCTACTGTTGATTTTATTGATCTTAAATAGCGTATATGTATGTTAATGAAGTGTTTGGTCGAGCATCAAATAAACAAGATATTACAGTATTCTGCATTTTTTGCACCAAACTAAATAAGTGGGTTTGTTTTGATTGTTAGTAAAAACAAGATCTCTTGTTAAAAAAGATTATTTCTATTAAGTATTATGAAATAATATTCACTGAAGAGGTTTACAACTACCCTTGGATAACAGATTAACCCAAAAAACAAAATTGTCTGAAAACACTATTATTTAGGGCTGTGCAATTTAATCCAAATCGAACTGCAATCGCGATTTGAAACGTTGCGATTAGCTAATCGTAAGAGACTGCAATATGTAATATATATTTGTATTATTAACTTTCCCCACCCAGAGCAAATGCATGACTGCCGTCCGTTTGTGATAGTCTTACTAGTCAATTGAGTGAGCACACTTTCATTCTGCCCAATCAGAATTGCGCAACTGAACTATGCGGGATGCCCACAATAAAAAAAAAAACAAACAAACAAGGAAAAGACGAACGAGTTGGATGATGGCGTCTGCTGCTTCAGAAGCATTTATAGACTAATTAAGAAAAATATCACATCCGTAATATAGGAATATCTTGGTATCAAAGTCACAGACACCAAACTAAACCAGGGAATTTGTAAGAGCTGTGGCTAAATTGTTGCCACAGCACAAGGAAATACAATAACCAGCACGTAAAAAAACGCCACAGGCTGCTATATCAGGGGCGTCTTGCTAAAAAGTCAACAAAGTATTGCTAGTGACACTCAATCTAGTAGCAAGCAACAGCAAAGTACAATTTCAGAGTTGTTTGCTAATATAAGTTATTATCTTTTAAGTTCTTTTTTTTTAAACTAACACTCACTGCATTTTAGTAGTAAGAAGCTACAAAACAGAATATTGAGCTGAAGCTTGACTACAAAATTAAATCGCAAATCAAATTGAAATCGAAATCGCAAATCTTTTGTAGAACTAGGAGTATAGAATTTAGGATATAGCTTTTCTCATCTGGAAATGGTGAGATCCGGATTTGCTGCTTGTCTCCTCTTAATGAAGACGCGGCTCTAGTTGGTGTTAATTGTCCTGTCTCCACAGATTTGGTAAGTGAGCGACCAGGGGTCTTTGTTAAGTAAGATGGCACAGTTAGTTCGTATCGAACTAACTATTACACAGAGTGTAAACATGTAAGCACCACAATCAAACTTACCGTTGTGTAGGATTTTCCCCACATTTTGTGAGAGGAATAACACACACGGCTTTCTGACGTTACCTACCGAGTGCATATAAGTTTCCGGAAAATGCAGAGTTTTTTTTTTTTTTCTCTTATTCGCCATGCAGAAACAAACATTGCATGAAAAATACATGCTTCCAGCCCTTCCTCGAATCAAATATCTCATTTGTCATGAGGGGCATGAATAAAAATCCTTAATGAAAGAGAGAAACTGCAGTTAAAAGTCCACCATTTAATAATTTGTCAAATAATTCTGCTCCTATGACATTCCCCCCTAAACGGAGATGGACACACCCACTTTCCTGACTTTTTTCAAAGTAGAGGTGTGAAAACACCCTGCTGAAACAAGAGGGTTTCATGGCTGAAATTTTGGTCTGTTTTTCAAATCATGGCTTCAGAAGTCATGAAAAAAAACATCATATCAACCACTTATGATGCTTTTATGGTGTTTTGTGTCCTTTTCTGAAGCTTGAAAGCTCCAATCCCCATTCATTGTAATTGCATGAAAAATAGCAATTGCATTATTTTCCATTATAACATCCCCTTCCTTGCATTCTGTGAATAAGCCATAAGCATTTGGAAGGACAAATAAGGAAACTGCAAAATACATAAATAAAATAGAGAAAGCGTTAAATGTTAAAAGTCTGTTCACCAGTTCTCATTTATTTATTGTGCTTACCGTTAGATCACACTATTTAATGACTTAAAAATGTAGGCTAAGTGCTAGAGTTCAATAGGGAGGAAGTAATTACCTTGCAGCTTTATACAGTTATATGATATTTTCTGCTTTTATTATGTTTTGTTTTAGTAATTTTGGATGAGGTATTGTTTAGTTAAATATTTTATAACCTGATCTATACATAAATCATTCCAGAAGAAACTACATATAACACACAGCAGTGAGATAGCAACCATTTACAAAGCACTTAAAATACCAGAATAAAATCTGACTTTAAACCAGTTCACTTTGGTTGCTGGTGGATGCTATTAGGTTTCTGATTCAGATAAAACTACAAATTTGCTGTTGTTCAATATAATGTTTGTTTGTAATATGTGAGACATGTGGTATTTATATTTTGACGTTTTAAAATATATTTACATTTAGTTTCAAATGCAAGTAACTACTTCAGACAACAGAAAACTTGACTTCTGCAAATGAACTTATCAGAAATTTTAGTATTTAAGTGGTAGCACTAACACTGATTAATGATTATAGTATGTTAATTACATGCTGGAATTACGCAGTTATATTGCTTGTATATGTTTATGTCTTTGGGAACATGCTACAGTAGCAAGCAATATATCCATTCTGATTTAAACAGTGCAGTTAAGTAGTATTTACCCATTTAATTTAGTTTAATACCCTTTAAGTGGAGAGTTGTTTAAAAAAATACACACAACTTCCATATTCAATTCAGTACTTGGGGAAAAAAGAGAGAGAGAGAGGTGTTTTGCTCAAAAGTGCCTTTCCCATTAAATTTCACAATGCAAACATGTGTATTTTGACTTTTATGAGTCCCACCTGTATTAATTTTTTAACTCAAACCTTTCCTTTTTTTTACTAATACATTAATTATTATAATACACTTATTATTTACTAATAAATTGATTGGAGAAAATAGGTCAGGTTAGGGAAAGTACTAAAATAGTTTGATACCAAACATGGAATATCTTTAATTTACTGTGTTTATTAACAGCATTTTAAAGTGATAACCTTCCCCCCCCCACACACACACAAAAGTGTTCCCTATTTATTCTCACTGAAGTGGTTATAAACCTTTTTGCGTTTATTTATTAATGCAAAAGCCTCTAAATGCCATCAGAAGTCTTCATTTAATATGAGCATTTTTCATTTTTTTCCCTGTGTGTTTTCTGATATTTCACTGTTATGGTGATGAATAGGTTGGATGAAAAATCCAATAACACCATATAAACATAAAAGACTGGGAAAAATGCTCATTTTAGAAGAACATTTCAGATGGCATTTAGAGGTTTTTGCCTCTGTACTCTTCATATTTTGAAGGAAGCTGAATACCTGTAACAAGTGACTTCTATAGTGGGAAAAACAAATGCTCAATGTCAAAAATTATAGGTTTCCAACTTTCTTCAAAATATATATATTTTTTGTATTTACAACTTAACAACAAAAGCTGAAACCAGTTTTGAACATTTGAAGGGAAATTAATAATTACAGAATCTCCCATTTTTGGGTGAACCATTTCTTTTGATATCTTTGGCAAGTAATAAAGTAGTAAATAATTCTTTGAAATGTGCCTTTTGGCAAACAAAGTCCATCATTTTGTTGATAATTGGTTTGCTCTCTTTCTCTCTCTCCTTCTCTTTCTCATTTAGGTTGGCCCCAATTCCTGCCCCGCTTCATCAGGCCCCTCTCTTATCACTGATTAGTCCCCTTTAAAATGGGCAAAACATGCAAGCAGTTTACTTGATCTGAAAGGATGACTAAAAAATCTGAACTAAGGCCTCAATTTTAAATCAAATACCGGGCCCCTTGACTTTAACATTTTATGGACACATTTTAAAGAGTCTGCCTCTGTCAGCCTTTGGGGCATGGCAAGATGAATGCCTGTGTACGATGATGATGGCTAAAAAGCAAGAATCCCGGCTGCCAATCTACAACCTTGTTGTTGTTGGCCTGTCGGGAACTGAGAAGGAGAAAGGGCAATGTGGAGTTGGCAAATCTTGCCTTTGTAATCGCTTTGTTCGCCCTAGTGCAGATGACTTCCATCTCGATCACACCTCTGTGCTAAGTACTAGTGACTTTGGTGGCCGGGTTGTCAACAATGACCATTTCCTGTTCTGGGGGGAGGTTGGGAGAGTTTTGGAGGATGGTGCAGACTGCAGAATGCATGTGGTCGAGCAGACAGAATTTATTGATGACCAGACTTTCCAGCCCCATCGTAGCACAGCCTTACTGCCCTACATCAAAAGAGCTGCCTCCACCAAATTGGCTTCTGCGGAAAAACTCATGTACTTCTGCACTGATCAGTTGGGCCTGGAGCAGGACTTCGAACAGAAACAAATGCCTGAAGGCAAGTTGCAGGTCGATGGCTTTCTGCTTTGTGTTGATGTCAGTCGTGGTATGAACCGCAACTTTGATGATCAAATGAAATTTGTCACCAACTTGTACAATCACTTAAGCAAGACAAAAAAGCCTATTGTGCTGGTTCTCACCAAGTGTGATGAGGGTGTGGAGCGATACATCAAGGATTCTCATACCTTTGCCATTACAAAAAAGAACCTGCAAGTTGTTGAGACTTCGGCTCGATCCAATATCAATGTTGACTTGGCTTTTCTTACCTTAATTCAACTCATTGATAAGGGAAAAGGTAAGCCTAAGATCATACCTTACTTTGAGGCATTGAAACACCAGAGTCAACTGATTGCCTCCGCAAAAGACCGCTATGAATGGTTGGTGAACCACATTGTGAAGAATCACAATGAAACTTGGCCAAACGTCAGCAGACGTATGCAGACTTCACCCGAATATAAGGAATATGTGTTTTTAGAAGGCACAGGTAAAGCTAAGAAACTATTTCAACAGCACATTCACCGACTTAAACAAGAGCATACTGAAAGACGTCGTAAAGCATACTTGAGTGCTCTTCCACTCGCCTTAAGTAGCTTGGTGTCGGAGTTGGATGAAATTGAGCATTTAAGCTGGTCTGGGGTGCAAAAAGTGCTTGAGTCTAAAAAAGACTTTGATCATTGGTTTGTGGTACTGGACGATGCACCATGGGAAGACACACCACATCTTGACAATATGGAGGATGACCGCATCCCCTTTGATGTGCTAGACACCACGGCTGCTGAAATCCTCTTTGATGCACACCTTGAACACTTGCGCAATGAATGCAAGCGTGCCCAGATGCGTCATGAGTTCAAAGGAAAATTAGCATCTTCACCTTTCGTTACTCCAGGCAAGCCCTGGGAGGAGGCTCGAAGCTTCATCATGAATGAAGACTTTTACCAGTGGCTTGAGGAGCCAGAATATTTGGACATTTATAACCGTCACCAGAAAGCAATCATTGACAGGGCAAAAGAGGATTTTCAGGAGCTTCTGCTGGAGTACTCTGAACTCTTCTACGAACTTGAGGTGGATGCCAAACCTAGTAAAGAGAAAATGGGAGCAATTCAAGAAGTGTTAGGTGAAGAACAACGCTTCAAGGCACTTCAGAAACTGCAAGCTGAAAGGGATGCTTTAGTACTGAAACACATCCATTTTGTTTATCACCCTACGAAGGAAACATGCCCAAACTGCCCACACTGTGTTGACAGCAAAATTGAGCAAATTCTAGCTTCATGCTTCCCTGCACAATATCCTTCCTTTGGAAAGTCGCATATAACTGATGCAAAGGTAGATAGGATCAATCTTGTTATACTGGGTAAAGATGGACTTGCTAGAGAATTAGCCAATGAAATTCGGGCACTGTGTACTAATGATGATCATTATGTGCTTGAAGGAAGAATGTATGAGCTTGTCCTTCGGCCAATTGAGGGCAATGTTAGACTTCCTGTTAATTCGTTTCATACATCCACATTTACTCCCCATGGATGCCTGTGTTTGTACAATTCAAAAGAGTCCTTGTCCTATGTTGTAGAAAGCATTGAGAAGTTGCGAGAGTCCACACTTGGCAGAAGGGACAACCATATGGCTCAGCTTCCGTTGTCCCTCTTATTGGTAAGCAAAAGAGGTGTTGGAGGACTGAGTGATATTGGTGGTGAGACTGCTCAAGCGTTAATCTCACAGGGTCAGCAAGTAGCCATAAAACTGCAGTGTAACTACCTGGAACCTTCCTCCCCAGGCACTGGTTATGGGCGAAACGTGAATGAAAAGCAGATCAACCAGGTTTTGAAAGCTCTACTTGAAACAAGGAGGACTTCTACATTTCGTAGCTGTTCTCCACCTGCACCTCCACTGCCTCCATGTATTCGAGACTTTCAGCAAGACCAGAGCCCAGAGGCTGATTTGCGTATCGTCATGTGCCTAATGTGTGGAGACTCTTATGACATCGATCAACTTCTTGCACCATTCCTGCTGCCTCAGCATTGCAAGCCAACTTCTCCCCAGACAAGTGGCACTTCAGTGCTGCTAGAACAAACAATTGGTGGCCACAAGCTTACGATTGAGCTTTCTCTGCTGTCTTACCACTCTTCTTTTGCTACTCGGAAGAGTCGACTGGTGCATGGCTACATAGCTGTATATTCTGCTAGCCGCAAGGCTTCTTTTGAAACCCTGTGTGCCTTTTTGTGTGAGGTTCAGGACATCATCCCGGTACAGATGATTGCAGTGGGGGAAACACAGATTGAGCTTCAGGACTCTGAGTCTGCTCGTGAATTGTTAGTCCAAGGTGAAGAGCTGGCACATGAACTTGAAGGACGATTTGGCAGTATTGTCTGTGGTCATGGCGGCGTTGTTGGAGGACTACACAAACTAGACCTTTTAGAACAATTTTTCACAGAAGTATTAGAAAAGAAAACCATAGTTGAAGCCAGCCATATGTATGAAAGCATGGCAGAAGCCAGTAGCACAAATGAGAATGTGTATTCGCCACACTGTGGCTCCCCAAGCCCTGTCACAATGCTGTTAGATTCTGAGGAAGACATGGAAGCTTCCCCGCCTTACCATGATGGCACACTTACCTCTCACGGTGGATTCAAACTGCCTGACCTGGACTCAGGTGACACATTCTCTGTGATCTCTGACCTTAGCACCTTTGAGAACAAGCTAAATAATAAAGTTCCTCCACAAGTGAGACCCAAACCTAGTGTCACATTTGACCTTAGAAAGCCAAGTTTTAACCCCTATGTGGATGGAGTCAGCCACCGCCGTTCCCTCACATCCAATGTGACGTGGCCTCTAGGAGGAGATTATGATCCTTCAGACTATGCTGAGCCAATGGATGCTGTCTCTAAGCCACGCCCCAGCTATGAAGACAGCATATATTCTGTGCCTCATGACAGCACACAAGGTAAAATTATTACTATACGCAATTCAAATCGAATCCACTCCAACGGAGGAGGAAATGGTTCAGACAGTGAAGGGGATGGCAGCTCATTGGAGAGACGTCGCAAGTTTTCAGCAGCAAGGGTTAAGCCACGGCTTTACCGTGATCGTTCCAAACGTCTGGGGAAGTTCAGCAGTTTCCGCACTAGTTTCTCTATTGGTAGCGATGATGAGATTGGCACACTCTCAAGGTCAAAAGAGGATGATGTTTCACCACTGAAGACAGATATAACAAATGAAGAAGGAGAAGATCCCAAAAAGAGAAACATCCTGAAAAGTCTCCGCAGACCAGGCAAAGTAAGTTTTTGAGTATATTATTTATCTTTTTTATACATTTTTAATTGAACTGTCTTTGGAGGCCTATAAATAAGAACAAGCATTGCTAATTGTTTAATTAAATTGTCAACTTAACCTGTATTTATTTTGCTATTTGCTAGAAAGCAAGACCAAAGCCTCGTCATTCCATCTCTAAGCCTTTGGAGAGTAACTACTTTGGAGTGCCTCTGGTCAATGTTGTTTCCTTCGAACGACCTATTCCAGTTTTCATTGACAAGTGTATTCGTTATATTGAAGCCACAGGTACATTTGCTGCATCTGTTTCACCGTCATACTCCCCCCATAACCTTGTGCTTAGGGAACCATATAAGCTTATCATTATCTCAGTGTCCAGTTAAAATTAGACACTTAATGGGCTGTAGCTGTCATAAATCACACCACAGCATTGTATTGCACATTTTTAACCTTTTTGTGACTGGGTTGCAGTTATAATTTATGAAGCAAATGTTGTGGAATAATATTAATGTAAATATAAGAATTGGTAACATTTTACGTACTGTATATTAGAAATAAACATTGTAGTTTGTAGAATTCTTCTGCCAGTAATTTATACTTAATAGTTTAACAATCATAGAAAGAAAATAAACCTCAAAATGATTTGAAATTAGAATTTAAAGTAAAATTGTTCTTTTCCTCATAGGGTTAACAACAGAGGGTATCTACAGGGTAAGTGGGAATAAGGCGGAGATCGAGGGCATGCAGAGGCAGTTTGAACAGGGTAAGTTCAGAATGATTTAAATACAAACTTGTTGCAGGCTATAGTAATGATGATTGCCTTAAGCTTTTATGGTTTGCTTGGTGCATGCTGACAGGATGTGCATGCTTTTTGATAAATAAGCTCTACTGGTTTTGCTCTCTCTTTTATCTCTTATTTCTATCCCTCACTCCATCACTATTTTCATTAATGTTTAGACCACAATCTGGACTTTGTGGAGAAGGACTTCACTGTGAACACAGTTGCCGGGGCAATGAAAAGTTTCTTCTCTGAGCTGCCTGATCCTCTGGTTCCTTACAGTTCACAGGAGGAGCTGGTGGAAGCTTTCAGTAAGATTTCACTTTAATAGTGTTTGTGAAGATTAGAATTACATTAATGCATATTCTTAACTGATAAAGCAAGATGGAGTGCCATTTCATCCATAATATGTTCCCTAAGCCTGTGGGATAATCACGTTTTTAATTGTTTTTTGTTCATAGAAATTAATGATCGAGAACAGAGACTTCACACAATGAAGGACGTGTTAAGACGATTTCCCAGGGAGAATTTTGATGTCTTCAAGTATGTAATGAGCCATCTAAACAAGTGAGTGTCAAAACACCTGAAGTCAATATATTTTGGAGATCTGTTAGAGGCCCTGTATAGACCTGGTTGTGAGATGCACTATTGTTAATTTCTGTGGGTAATGCTAAATATAGGTGTAGATGGAGTCTGAAACATTTTGAGCTTGCCTGCTTTTAATTATATCCAGAGATGTACAAAAATGTATTCAATCAGATTGCATTTATTGTGTAGATGAAAAGTTGTTGATGTTTGTTTGCCATTTTCTGTTTGGACCTCATGCGTGAATGTGCCAGTCACTTAATTCAGTGTGAAATTATATATTTTAGCAGGCAGGTAGGACAGCTTATCACATCCTGACCAAATGTTTTGATAGGACAAACTTCTCTTGCTGTTACACCTTCCACAGTATATTAAAATTCATATACATTTGGACCACTTAATTCAAGTCAAAGTCAAAAGTCAAAGTCAGTTTGTTGTCAATTAAACCACATATACAGGACATACTGAGAATCAAAATTGCGTTACTCTTCGACCCTAGGTGCCTAACATGTAATATTGATACAAAAAGCAGAATTTAAAAAAGAAATTACAATCAATACTAGGGATGGGATGATAACTTTTTTCAAGGTCATACCACAGTTTGGAAAGTCAAGGTTTTAAAACAATTTATTCTGCTATACCGTTCCTAAGGTATATATAAGATTTTTTTTTTTTCCTTTTTTTTAAACTGTAAAGAAATCTGTGTTTTGGAGACTAATGAACACAGTAGAAGTCTATAAATTATTTTTATTATTTAACTTGACATGTTTACTGCTCCAAATTATTTGTTTTCAAAGGGGAAAAAAGTGTTGTTTTTTACCCAGACATTTAAAAAGAATATATTTCAGAGCAGCCCTGATTACACATATAGTATAATCTAAAAATATGAGTAAAAAATAAAAATGTTTAAACAATACAATTACACTTGAGGGCATATGGCAAGGAGTGCAAACCAGAGTATTGTATCAGATTCAAAAAGCTTTTTAAACTTGATAATTATGATAAAGTGACAGTGTCCTAATAGTATACAGGGAGGTTTTATGAGGTAACTAACAGTCTAATGTTACACAAAGTGACTGGTGCAGATGTATGCATAAGTGTGTGTGTTTGCATGATTGCTTTCAGGATGTGGAGACTTGGATGTGGAGACTCACCCAGCAAAACAAAAATTGTTTCTGAAGACAATCCCTTTTCCACCTTTAAGCTTTACAGAATGAGCTACCAAAACACGCTAGTCAGACATGATTTGCTCTCTGAAATTAGGTTTAACAAGTAAAAACAAGAATGTTGAAAGCACAATGTTTTTTTTAACAGTCCTTAATCATGAAATCCACAGCATTAACACAGGTTTTCATGTCCCAAATTCTTAGAATGCATTATTTGTGTTTCCATTCACTAGTGGACCATTTCACTGAATGGTATGGTACTGTTCGATACACTTTTATGGCTGTTTCCACTGTCAAAAGGTACCAAAAAGCGAACCGTATTGTAACACTTTTTGGGTACCCTTTCTAAAGGGTACCTAGCACAACAATAGGGAACCAAAAGGCAGAGCTAGATGCACAGCTGAATGCTATTGGTTTACAGAGATGCGTCTCTAGCGCAGACACAAGCCAGGGGAATGAAAACAAAGGAAGCGCCAGTTTCAAATACACAGCTGAGAGATTACACCATAATTATATATATACATATATAATTATATATATACATACATACATACACATATATATATAAGCTCAAACAAACCTTTGATAAACAGCCACAAAGTCAAGAAGAAGAGCAGATTCTACCCTGTGCCCCATAGTTGTTTATGGGACGTTACGCTGCACATCTATATTTGAAATAACAAACTGCTTGAGCTGATAATAACGTGCACTTCATTATTGAAGAGTTTCTGACATCCGATCCTTTCAGAAATGGACAAACGTGAGAATGACACGTGAAAAAACAAAGGAGCAAATGATTTTTTTAGCGACCTAAACCATGAACAAACTGCCCTGTTTCACTATTATCATCATTTTTTGGACTATTATGAACTCTGAATGACGGAATTACTTTCTAACCAGAGGTTACATGTGCTGGTGAAGATTAAAGACACAGATGAGAGGTTTGCACTTACTGACATATATGAACCAAAATTAGGACTAAATGTCGGCTGTGTGTAGTTTTTCAGTAATTGGTAACATATCGGAGACTGAAGGGTCTGTATTTGTTCATATATGTTGCATTTATTTTATATAATTGCAGACATCACAGTAGGCTATTTTGCATTGAACTGCAGTTATAATCAAATTATGTAAATATAAAAGTTAGTAATGAATATTTATACACAAGTAGTTATGTGTATAAAGCCTCTGTTTTGTGAGAAGTGCTTCTCATATGGTATGTGAACGACCCGTACAGCTTACTTTGACATTTCCTGACATTTGACATTTTTGAGCAACAATGACGCTGACTCAAACTTTGTCATATACCACGCCACCATACCACCATTAATACCCTTTTGGTAGTGGAGACGCAAGCCTGATAAAGGTGTCCCGTTTCGTACCGTACTGAACCACTTTGTGAAAAGTAGGCATAAGCTAATTTGCAAAAATATTTTGAAAGAAAATGTTCATATATACATCCACCCCATAGACCATCTGGTAAGTTAAATGAGGAAAGTGGTCAAAGTGGACAGATTGATAAATCAAGTGTTAACAGAAATATGCCCCAAAATATCTACATCTGATCTGATTGCAAAAAAAATAAATAAAAATCTGGCCAAATGTAAAAGATTCCATAGCTTAACTGTTTCTTTTTTTCTCAGGGTTGGTCAGTGGAACAGAGTCAACTTAATGACCAGTGAGAATCTCTCCATCTGTTTCTGGCCAACACTGATGCGGCCAGACTTCACTTCTATGGATGCCCTGACCGCCACACGCACCTACCAGACAATCATCGAGACGTTTATCCATCAATGTGCTTTCTTCTTTTACAACCAGCCTCCTGCTGAATCGCCCACTGGCCTATTCGGCCAGCCTGGACCAATGGTGCCCTGTGGATTGCCCCCATCCCCCACAGCTGCTCCTTCTTATTGCCCTTCGACCCCACATTTTACCCCTCTTCTTCAGTCCCCGCCTCATTCTCCCCCCCAGAGCCCACACTCCGCCCCTGCAGAACCACAAACACTGTGAGCTGGGGGACAATAAATGATGTGGCCCGTTATTTAACCATACATACACTCAGATACGTCAATGCATGCTTACACATCTACATACACAGACACGCACACACACACAGACATATCTAAATGCCTCTAAAACATGTAGCTTGTTTTGGTCAGTGTTTGTGAAAAAGTTGAGCTCTCAGTACTTGCTGTACATCAGGGATGCTCAAGACCTTTCTGCTGCGTTTAGTTCCAACCTGCTCTGAAAAACGTCTGTAATTTTTAATGTACCCCAAAACCTCAGTTTCGGGTGTGTTTGATTAGTATCTAAACTCTTTATAGGACTGCAGTTATTAACACATATCACACACCAGACAAAGGTCTGTGCGCTTATGAACTCTTGAACATTGTAACCAACAAAGACTCCAATCACCTCCATGTCGTTTATTACAGAAGGGGGACGCCGGTGTCATTTCATGAGAGCGAATATACAGTAGCTGTTCTAATCAAGAAGGATATGAGTTATTTTGAAGGATCTTCTCTTCCTCTCCTTAGAAGGTGATCAATTTTGCAACAATTTTAAACCCAGTTTTGTTCTATTGTCATCTCTATTTGGATCTATTAGGACACTATTGTCATAAAAAAACCATGAAGCACTTACACGTTCAACCTTTCATCATTTTATGGAGAATAATAGAATGACCTCTTCCTTATTTTCTTTCTTTTAAGAAGATGAATGAAATCACTTTAGCTGCAACCATATTCACCACTTTGCCTGGCTGTTGTTCCACTTTACCGTCCGCCATGCCTCTGTATGTTAAGTTACAAACACCAAGTATCCAGTGGATTTTGGAGGATGTTTGTTGTGAATTGCCAGCTTTGAAGACTTGAAGCTCTGATAGGCTAGAAGGTGATGTCGATGAGGATTTGCTTTGCTGAAAGTCTCCTGTGGATCCCGGCTCATAAATTCACCTAATGGGAGTGTGTGTGCCCTTTCTTTGAAGGCTGGGATTTAAATGGCAGCGGTATCACGTGGTTTTAGGGAATGCACTTCCAGTTAGCGCTGGTGAAGGGCTCAAGATCACTGAGACTGCAGATTTACTTCGACCCTTAAACTCTTTTGAGTCAGCAGCTCAAAACCCTCACACCTTAATTTTGAACTCATGGTATTAAAAAAAAATCAAGATTAAGGCCTTTTTTTCTGATGCCCAGTCTGACTGTTTTAAAAAATGTCATTGTTTTTACTTTATCTAAAGCACTTTTTCGTCTTTTTATATAGACCTGTGAACGCTGGCACTGACTGATGATTGGTTTCGATTTTTTTATTTTTTTTTTTGCCATCAATGTTTAAAAGATCAATGAACTTGAAGGTGAATGTGGAGCAGTCACAGATTAAGCCTAATCTTGGTCAAAAGTTGACTCTTGATGATTCTGCATTCATTAGCTTGTCTTTTGTCTACTGTCATGCACTTAGATCTCTTGTACAGCCTGAACGTTAATCACCATTTTCCCTTTTGTCATCTGCATTTAACGAAAATCAAATGACTCAGTTTATCTCTTGTTCTGCTTTCACCATCTCAATCTGTCTGAAATCCTTCTGGACAAATCCATAATGTATAAAGACGCGACTGATTGAGTGTAGATTGTATGTATATTACCATAATACCTTTATTTAATTTTTTTCTCTTAAACCGCAAAGCTTCTGCTGTGAAGGAAATTATTCCTAAGCATAATTTTGCTTGAAGTGTCACTTCCTATTTCTATCCAGCCAAGGTAGAAAAGCTGAAGTACCAAAGTAGTGCAATGTGGTTGAAGAGGGTTCAACACCAGTTGTAAATATTTTGATGACGGGTTTGGAATGAGTTATGTCGGATTCAACAAATAGTATTTGACAAATAGTCCAAATGGTGAAACTTTGATGATTTGAACACGCTTTCGTTCATGGTCCTTTTCGTTCTGCGTATCTGCTGCTTTTCTACCAGGCTGAGAAAGACTGAAAGAATCCCAACGTTACTTGAAGAATGCTGTTTTTCTTTCAATATTGAGATGCAGCTTGAAATTTCTAGGATTACCAACTCATTTCAGCCATCTGTATGTGGGTGTGTGTGTGTGTGTTTATTTGTAAGAATACAAGCTAATGTAATTAGTCATGAAAAGGATGGGTAACTGTGATGACGGTAATCATAATGGTTAAAAGAATTGAGGCCATTCAAGAGTGCCACAAAATGTTCTATTATGTAGAAGTGTTTGTAGAAGTAGAGCTTCTTTGGATTTGTAACTTTGCTTTTGATCTAAAGTACTGAGTACTTGCTAATTTTCTGTCTGCTGTTACATTGTGTTAAGCCCAGAATGTGGAATAATTTGAAGTCATTCAAACAATTGAAGTGTGCACTGTTGCACCTCACCAAACCTGACCTGCTGAGTTTACTTACCTGGAATAAATGAACGTGCCCTATAAACTGCTAAGTGAGATTTAGTCAAAATTCTGGATTACATGTGACAGCTGTCGACATACTGATCTGAAGGTTATAGAAATGATTCACTAAAATAATAATAATAATAATTTGCTGTTAACTTGCTCACCTTCACCATCCATCCAAGATGAAGATGAGTTTTCTCAAAGAAACACTCCAATTTTTGGAAACAGGCTTATTTTACAACTAGATGACAGTTAAGGTTTAACAGTTTTGAATCTATTGATTTAGCATATCTCCACGTCAGGCAGATACACTATGTTTAGCTCAACATAAATCATGGAATCATATTAGACCAGGGGTGCCCATGCGCAGTCCTGGAGAATTTATCTCCAACACACTTGCCAGGACGTTTCTAGTATATCTAGTAAGAGCTTAATTAGCTGGTTCTAGTGTGTTTGATTAGGGTTGGAGATAAACTCTCCAGGACACTGGCCCTCCAGGACAGAATTTGGACTCCCAAATATTAGACCATTAGCATGTCCCTAAACAAATTTCAAAAAACATTGCAAAGAATACTGTTCTGAAATTTTTTTATTAATGTAAAAGTAAAAATGTGCAAATATAAAAGCAACTTCACCTCAATAAAAGTGTTTAAATATATATATTTTTTTTTTGTTTAGAGCTTGAGCGTTCTGTAGTTACATCATGTACTAAAACCTATGTAGAACAAAACGTTGCTCTTTTCTAGTGTGATATCGCTATCAGAAGAATTTAGACTCTCATTCCAGTGTGGTAAACAAGAAACTTTGCTGCTGTACCATGGCTGCAGCAGGCACAATGATATTACATGATGCTTTTACATAACTGGGGCTATTTGCAGGCACTGCGTAATATCATTGTGCCTGCTGCAGCTAACTGTATTGATTATTACACTGGAATAAGAGTATAGTTTCTCGACATACACTTTAAAAATTCTGGGTTCCACACAATCCATTTGTGTAGAGACAACATGAAGGAATTAAATTAACTTATTATTTTTTACTAATTTAAATGGATTAAACATAAAACAGTCAAGTTGTCCCCCCAAAAATAAAATAAAATATGTGTTGTTTTAGCTAATTTTAAATAAGTATATGAAACTAGAGCTGCACACTAAACAATGCTGGGTTCCACATGACCTCTTCATGTTGTTCCAATGCAAATTGATTAAGTTGTAGGTTTGTACAATTTTAAATTGATTGAACATATAACAGCTAAGTTGTCCCCCCAAAAAACTCTTATTATAGTTTGAACATGCAGCAAAAAAAAATTTCAGTGCACAATAAATCGATTTAGCATCGATATCGCACAACGAATCCTTCCAATTGATATAACATTATCCTTTTTTTTCCAAATAGAGATTAAGTCATCTGATGAAATTGTATTCATATCTCAATATATATAGCGCAAAATAAAAAAAATATTGTAATGTTAGATTTTTCCAATATTGTGCAGCTCTAGTTCAAACAAATGACAAACATAATTTTTAGAGTGCAGTCTAGAAAATAGCAACTTTTCATTTTGCATCTGCTTTATTATATAGGATAACTAAGATATACTATGACTACGATGTTTCAGCTAAAACTGTGGTTCTTGGTGATTCATAAAATGCAAGGCAATGCCTTTCAGCACTTTCAGTCAAATAAATAATAATTAGCATCTGTTTTTCCTGATGACACACTTGATTGAGGTCTTGTGAAGTGGAAAAAGTCTGTGCAATAAAGTGAACATTATAAAAACATATTTACCTTAAATCCACAGCTTCTGCTGATTCTTTTGACATGTGATAATATCTGAACATCACTTTTATAGTACTTCAAATTATTCTCAGGAGCCACAGATATGCATCTTGTTTTGCATACGTTTTGACTTTTTATTTACTCTTAAAGCTTATTTAATGGCTTTAAGTGACTCCATAAGGACCACAGTTTCAGTTAAAAATCTTGTTTCATTTTCTACTGAAGAAGAAAGTCACTTTCATATTGATCTGAGGGTGAGTAATATAACAGCAAATTCAGTTTTTTGTGCAAACCATTTTCAGCATAAACCCTAAACATTTTTTTCTTTATCAGAGCCTTTATTGACTATTCTACATTACATTGTTTCATACTACTGTCAAAAAAATCTAATGTTAATGTAACCATAAAGTGATCATTCGTATTAACTAATTGAAGTCCATCATTCAAAATAAATGAATGTTCTGCTGCCCTCTTGTGGACATAAGTTTATTAGCAGGTATGTTTAGAGATTGAATATTGTTTTTGTTTGCGTTTTTAATGTAAGCGACGTATGAGCCTGTTCATAGCTACTCTATTTTGTTATGTGGTCTAGTTTGTGTGAGAAATGACTCACAAACACACACACACCACCCATTTTCATCCTCTTTCTGGTGCCTTTAGTTTATATTTATTAGCTGAGCAGCTCTTTCCGCTGTGAATAGTTGGTTTACTTCCTTTCATGTTGAAAAGAAACAACATTTACGTTATGCTTTAAAGAAGGTTTTGAGGAGATATTTCGCTGACAGTGGGTCTATAAGGACGTGGCTCACCTGGTGTATTTGTACAGCTCAAATCAAGGACTTTTCAGAGTTACTGCAGTGACAGCCTGGTTGTGTGTTAGGAATATGAAACACACTGCCTTTTAGTTAAGCATAACTTGTTTCTTTCATATATGAACAAAAGATGATAAAAAAAAGTCTTGGTGCTTAGTCTCTTGCTTCTTATTTAAGCTTTTTTTATGGTGTTAGTATAGTAGCATGCATGACCGAAGATCTATACAGGGAGGTTTTTGCTGCTTTCAGTATTTCCAAATATGAGTCTGATTATGTATTTAATTATGAAGAAGAAGAAAAAAAAACTGCAAAATGATCCTGTAATGAAAGAGGGTCAGGAGGGCTTTAAATAAATGATGACGGACAATAAATGAAGTTTTGTTACATGTACGATGTTCTCATTGTTTTGTTTTCTTTAGGAGTGACATTCCACTGATATGATGGTCTCTCCAGGATTTGTAAGGGCTATATATGAGCAATATCACACGAGTAGGAGTGCTTTATGGCTGTATATTGGCACTGGTGGGAGGTGTGTGTTGGCTCGTGGCCATAGGCCGAGTGCCTTAGTGCCCCCCACTAGTGCTGATATACAGCCTATCGCACTGCTATGAGTGTGATATTGCGCTTATACAACAGTTTGATGTCATAATTATGTGTATAAAAACAAAATCAAACACAAAGACTCTCAAAAACCGTTACTTTCTTCCACCATTCATTCACATCTGCTACTGACGTCAGAACAGCAGAAACCTTTGGGAGTTCACAAACATCACCTTAGAGCTAGTATTTATATGACTCTCTAGTATAATATCTAAAGTGACAACAAAACAGCTGATTTTTGCTCACGTTTTAATATTATAAGGCTAAACGTCATAAAATGCCATCAGTCTACAGAGATTTCCCACTATTTCTCTGTTGCAATCGGGATTTCACAATAACCACAAAAGGCTAGAGCAAAGTAAACACTATCAGTTTCTGTGGCATAAATACAGCACTACAAAATACAAAAAGAGAGATCGACTCAGAGCGACACTTACCTGATTTGTTCAGCTGTTTGACATTTTTGCTGAGATAATGCAGTTGTTCTCCCCCAAGCACTTTTTATGCAGTCTCTGTAGCCATCTTGTGGAGAAACATCAACCGTCACTTTCTTTGGTCTGGTCAGACAGGCTGATGGCAGTTGATGCACTGAATCCAGAGGTGGGTAGAGTATCCAAGACCTATACTCAAGTACAAGTACTTGCGGAAATTTTTACTCAAGTAAAAGTAACAATCTTAAAAGTTATTCGAGTACAAGTAAAAAAGTATTTGATGAAAAATTACTCAAGTAAATAGTTACTAGTTACTTTTCATATATATATATATATATATATATATATATATATATATATATATATATATATATATATATATATATATTATACACATTTTCATAGTATCTTTTTCTGGAGAAGATCTTGTTTTATATCAGCAAAAATAAAAGCAGTTTTTAATGTTTTATAATCATTTTAAGCTCATAATTATTAGGCCCCTTAAGCAATATTTCTTTTGATTGTCTACAGAACAAACCATTAATTACCCTATAACTTGTCAAATTAACCTGGTTAAGCCTTTAAATGTCACTTGAAAAATCGTCACCTTAGAAATAAGGTTCTATCTGTTAATAAATCAATTTTAACAAAAATGTCAGATAGAACCTTAATTCTAAGGTGACGAAATATCTAGGATCTTCAAAAATATCAACTCAAACATTATGTACTGTCATGGCAAAGATCATCCGTTATTAAAATGACATATTAAAACTATAGAAATGTGTGGATAATATCTTTCTGTTAAAGCAATTGTGTGTTAAAAATTTATGTTTAAATGGTTAAATGACTAATGTGTGCTGGGCAGTTATTCCATTAAAAAGCAGTTTCTTTTATAGTTACCATTATTTTATAGTTATCCCATAGTTACCATTAATAAGGTCTAAAAATATGGTTAATATTGACACTTACCACGTATTTTTTTTTTTTCAGATCGGAGCTGTAACTCATGTATATGTCAGTTCGAGGCGTGCATCGCATTATGAAACTATTCTTGTTGACATCTTGGAGTAAAAACATAGACTGAACTTGAGGCTGGGTGACCTGGTCCGATAAACTCACTGCAGGGACAGTGTGACTGTCCCTCACGGAACCGCAGATGGTGAGCGGGCCCACAGTATAAACTCTTACGTCTTCCTAGACTTCAGCCATTATTTCAAAAGGCGCGCGCGCTCTAACCGAAAGCGGACACGCATCTCTATAGCAACCTCTCGCAACACAACCTCTCCAATATTTGCAAACAAGTAATATGAATCATATATTTTTTTTCCTTGGCAGTAACGGAAGAACGCCGCCAAATGTAGCGAAGAGGGTGATTTTTCTCTAATAATTTACTTGAGTAAAAGCACACATATTTAAATGTACTAAAAAAGTACTCATTACCCAATAATTTTACTCAAGTAGGCCTAAATGTAACTCGTTACTACCCACCTCTGACTGAATCTGATGTTTGTAAATTATAAATATATAAAAATAGGCACTATTCTTATAAATAAACTGCATAGCTGCAACTAAACAATTACATTCTCTACTAAAAAAGCTGGCGAGGCAGTGGCGCAGTTGGTAGTGCTGTCGCCTCACAGCAAGAAGGTTGCTGGGTCGCTGGTTCGAACCTCGGCTCAGTTGCCGTTTCTGTGTGGAGTTTGCATGTTCTCCCTGCCTTCGCGTAGGTTTCCACTGGGTGCTCCTGTTTCCCCCACAGTCCAAAGACATGCGGTACATGTGAATTGGGTAGGCTAAATTGTCCATAGTGTGAATGTGTGTGGATGTTTCCCAGAGATGGGTTGTGGCTGGAAGGGCATACGCTGCGTAAAAAAAACTTGCTGGATAAGTTGGCGGTGCATTCCGCTGTGGCTACCCTGGATTAATAAAGGGACTAAGCTGACAAGAAAATGAATGAATAAAAAAGCCTCTAAAAAAGCCTCAAAAGTACTTTATGTTGTCCAACAGCAGCAATATTTGTCAAACTGTTGAGTGTTCTTGTGTTATACAGGGTGAGGCTGTAGTAGTGCTGTTATTTGCAGAATATCGCACAGCTATTAGCCAATCAGATTCAAGAAAAGAACTGTTGTGGGTGTATATATATTATCCCCCTTTGATTTTTTTCTTTTTTAAATATTACCCAAAATTTTGTTTAACAAAGCAAAGAAATTTTTAAAGTATGTCTGATCATATTTTTTCTTCTGGAGAAAGTCTTATTTGTTTTATTTCAGCTAGAAAAAAAGCAGTTTCTATTTTTTTAAACACCATTTTAAGATCAAAATTAGCCCCTTAAAGCTATATTTTTTTTAGTCTACAGAACAAACCATCGTTATACAATAACTTGCCTATTTACCCCAACCTGCCTAGTTAACCTAATTAACTTAGTTAGGCCTTTAAATGTCACTTTAAGCTGTATAGAAGTGTCTTGAAAAATATCTAGTCAAATATTATTTACTGTCATCATGGCAAAGATCAAATAAATCTCTTATTAGAAATGAGTTAGTAAAACTATTATGTTTAGAAATGTTTTAGAAATTGGGGCAAAAAAAACAGGGGGGCTAATAATTCAGGGGGCTAATAATGTTAATGACTTTTACTAAAGATGTTTTTTAATTTCTTGTTCACAAATGCTGCATTTATTTAAACAAAATAAACTTTAAAACGATTGAAAGAAATGCATCACAATGCATTTCTGTGATGGTAACTCTGAATTTTCAGATCGAAAGTTAAAAGTAGAATACGTTTTGGGTAATGATTTTTGTTTTCATTCTTGCAGAATAAAAAAAACTGTATTAAATAAATAAATAAATAATTATTATTATAAAATATTATATTTAAAAATATACATTTTATAAACTATAACTTTAAAGTTTTGAATGGTTATACATTTACTGTATGTTTACTATCAGCTGTGATGATTATATTGCATATATTCACACCCATAGTGGTCAGCATCTTATTTATAATAGATGTTTACAATAACTGAGTTTCTATTGAGTGTCAAATCTAAAGTATACTTTTAATATTCCATAAGTTCATCATATTAATATAAATACAAAGCTTGTTTTAAGAAAAAAAATGTTCATTAAAATGAGTGTACTAATTTGTTATTATCATTATTACATTATTTGGGATACTACTTTATGATATCATCTTGCGATCACACCACTGCAAAATGGATCAGTGGTTTTGCTTTGAGAACACAAATTGGTGTTGCTTTCGAGAATATTTTCTGCCTATACTCTGTATAGACTTTTTACAAAACTAAACATATGTAAATAATGTTGATTATTACAGTTTAACACAAATTTAAACTCCCTCTGCATTTCTTTCTCATTTAAATAGCTGATTTTTTTTGAAAATATAGACTGCAATGTAGCAGAAAAACTCCAGCATCATTTGATAGTTTTATTTTTTCTGTAAAAACAAACGGAGAGCATTAAGGCCTGTGTGCAAACAGGTGTTTCTGGCATTGGCGGTGGGCAAATCTCTTCAGTTACAGTAGTTCTGCAGCTCAAAGATGCTGCAGGGTTTGTGGCAGCACTGCTCTACAATGCCTCTCTTCCTTATCAGCTCGGCATGATCTTTAAATGCAAAGTCAGCCACCTCAGTTTCCTGGGCAGATTTAGGAGGAAGGAAACCTGAAAAAACACAACAATAGGGAAAATCCTGACATTAGTCTAGCTTAATATTAGTCTACCACTGCTGGCTCTTTGTAGTTCCCTGCACAGACAATGAAATCAGACCTATTCAGGGTTCAATATATCGCCTTTAGTTACACTTTTTTCTAACAAAGTCAAAGATTAACAAACATGTAATAGCAAATTGCTAGAAAAAAAAATCAAAACTCAAACAGTTTGATTGCCTAAACTTTACATAGTTTAAGACTGTAATTATTATCCCACTGTAAAAAAACAATCCTGTCTGCCTTAAATTTTTAAGCTAAATCAAATTAACCTTATGAGTCCATTGAGCTTATACTATGTTAAACTGACTTAAAACTGAAAACTGCTTGCATAAATTAAGTTAGAACATGATTAACTTAGTTTAATAAGTTACAATAACCTAAGAACATATGTTGTCAGGACTAATTGTCCATATAGTTTTTAGTGTAGTTATTAAAATTGAATTATTTCCAAATAAATTTTTAACAGATTTAAAAAAAAAAAAAAATTTAAATTAATAACTTACTTTTTTTTTTGTTTTGCCATTATATTAGATATTTTCTAAATATTTTGAAAGATAGTAGTATCTTTTTAGTAGTTCAGTAAAAAAAAATTCTACACTAAAATTATCTGTACATTACCAGTTTTGCATAATTTGTGATATATGTCTTTTATTGTATTTCCCCGTTTATTTTGCATTATGAGACCTTGGTCTTTCTTCAAACAACTTTTACCTTGAAAAGGTTTTTAAGGTGACTTTTATTAACATTTCTTATAGTTATGTCGTGGGGGTCAGTGTCGTATATACTGTATAAGGATACAAACACCTTGCAATAAACTGCCAGTACATTTTCTGTTCTTTTACAAACTTATTTCTCTATGTATTACTTATACCAGAATTATGAAACCCTCTTTAAATTAGTTTTCTTTTTTCAATATTTCCCAAATGATGTTTAACAGATCAAGGAAATTTTCACAGTATGTCTGATAGCATTTTTTCTTCTTTAGAAAGTCTTATGTGGTTTAATTTTGGCTAGAATATAAGCAGTTATTACAATTTTTAAACAACATTTTAAGGCCAAAATAATTAGCCCCTTTAAGTTATATATTTTTTGATAGTCTACAGAACAAACCATCGTTATACAAAAACTTGCCTAATTACCCTAACCTGCCTAGTTAACCTAATTAACCTAGTTAAGCCTTTAAATGTCACTTTAAGCTGTATAGAAGTGTCTTGAAAAATATCTAGTCAAATATTATTTACTGTCATCATGGCAAAGATAAAATATCACTTATTAGAAATGAGTTATTTAAACTATTGTGTTTAGAAATTTGTTGAAGAAATCTTCTCTCCGTTAAACAGAAATTGGGGAAAAAAATAAGCAGATGGGCTGATAATTCAGCTTCGACTTCAACTGTACATTATATTATTTGAAACTACTAAAACGTCAACAAAAGTCACTTTGTTGAACTGTGGAGTTGAATATTTAACATCAAAATGCGGCAGAGCAGAGATCAACATCCCATAATGCAATTCATAAATCAACCAAAAACTTTTACATTTTAATTAACAAATATTTTTACAGTGGAGATTAATTAGGCTAACTAGGCAAGTTACTTTGTTGTCGAACCATGGCTGCAGCCATGATACAGTGGCAAAGTTACTTTATTATTATGCTAGAATGATATTAACCTACACTGTAAAAATCGATTAGTAACTTTACTTTAAAAAAGTAAGTAAACCAACCGCAAAAGCAACAAGTTAATTTGGTAACACTTTATTTTGATGGTCCATTTGAGTATTAGTAGACTGTCTGCTTATTATCTGTTGATACTGCTCCTTCAACAGACATTTAACTGACTATAAGAAACTTTGCAAGTACATGTCAACTTACACTAACCCTAACCCTAAACCCAACCTGTCTACATATAATCTAATGAGAGTTAGTTGGCATGTAGAAGCAATTTACCAAATGGACCATCAAAATAAAGTGTGACCGTTGATTTTACTTTTAAAAAGTCAGAAAACCCATTGACTTAACTTTTATAATATGCACATAGTTTGCTTAATTATAAGGCAACGAGTTCACTCTCTTTTTTTAGGTAAAGGCAACTAATCGCTTTTTACAGTGTAGAAAGCAGCAACATTTCATTTCCACTGGTCTTAGTCCACAATGTAAATAAAGAATAGTAAAGTTATCATTTTCAAGCTATATACTCAATAGGGAAATTATCAAAAAAAAAAATTTACGAGACGCTAATGGTCTAATTCAATTCAATGATCTACGCTAAACTAAACTAAAAGTGCTCTTGCCAGAGTTGGAGATCGCTAATTGGATTTAAAAATGATAAAACTCCACTGTTACTACTCCACTGTCAAAACACCTCTACTTGACTTTCTTACCCAGAAGGGGCTCAACGTCTCTCTTGGGGTTGTAGAAGAAGCCTGTTGGGCCACAGACCAGATAAAGGGCATCGACCAGATGAGATCCACACAGGTGCTGCGGTGTGCCTGGGTTAGTGCTTACACTGGACACGACCAACAGGACCAACAGAGCACCAGCCTGAAGCCACACTGCCATGGTCACACTGACACAAACACACACATACAATCTCTGTTAATCAAAAACATGTACACAAGCTACACTCCGCATTCTCTGTAGATTTACCATCCCGCTCGACACTCACCTGTTCTCGAAGCAGAGGCGAGGAATGGTGGATATGGTGGTGGAGATGTTTTGGGACGAATAGCATCTCCTACTCACTTTTATACTCGAGTTTAGATCGGTTCTGCTGGTTTTGCCTGATTCAGCGGAAAACCAATCCTGTGCGTAAACACACTTTAACACTTTTAAGTGGCTGTCCAATCACACATGCCACATTAGCTGTGTTTGGCCAACCAATTCACATTGACTTCGTGGACACTGCCACGCTCACAGAAGACAAACACATCGTGATGCTCACGCAGCTCCAGAGGCTTTTGGTTAATTGTTAATTGTTGAGAACACAAGTTTACACAGAATGAGCAGATCACAGAGACAGCTGGTGGCTTTTCTTTGAGTGAAACAGCAGAAGGTAAGATGGGGTTAGACGAGTCATTAGTCTTCAGGAACGTTTGTGACGTCTTCATTGTGACTTTTTTTTAAAACCTAATATGTGTGGTTTTAGTCATAGGGTAGTGGCCTGGATTTTGAAAGATTTTATAGTATACTATTAGATCATTTTGTGTTTATTTCTTGATAATTTCTTATTATTAGATGATTTCTCTACAGTTTTAAACACAATTTAAGGGAATTCACACAAAATGTAATGTTCTGTCAGCAGTTACTATTTGTTAGCTTATTTGTTGAACACAAAAGACACCATAGACATCCCTAGTATTTGCTTTTTTAATGGAAGTCAGTGGATACAGGTTTTTAGCTTTCTTCATTTTCTTAAAAAACAAACAAAAAAATGCTTTCATGTTCAACTATAGATACTCAAAAATGTTTACAAGCACTAGAGCAGAGGTGCCCAAACTTTTTCTCATAAGGGACCAACAACTAAACTAGACTGTGGGCTGAAGTTAAATATAACAAATCATATTACATTAAATTTACTATGGATAATTTCCTAATTTAGTTGCTAATATATAAAAACAACTAGAAAACATATCAATTAATGATGCAGTATCATTTTAAATATTATATAATGAACTTATTAAGGTACAAACATAAGTATACCCATTTATAACACAATAGAGTTCAATGCTGAATACATTAGTCGAGCTGCTCCTACCTTTGCCTTGATTTGCTCGCCGATGTCTTGTGCATTGTCCTCTATCTTTCAAGTGACAATATTTACTTTTTAAAAGTTTGATTAGTTTACAACAGTTAAATAAAACATTAAATTCTAGTTGGCTTTTTGTAGCTCCTTACTTGAAGAAACCAAAGGTTTTGTTAGCCTCAAAATGGCGATCTCTGTCAAAGGCATTCACCCCTTACCAACTTCCCATCATTCTCCCTCTCTATTTAAATGGGATGGTGGACCAAATCAAAGATTACCATGGACCAGCTTTGGCCCATGGGCCCTACTTTGGGCATCTCTGCACAAGAGGATGAGTAAATGTAAATTCTTGTTTTGTAATCAGTTTAAGTGGAAACACTGCAGGCTGGTGGACAAAAACATTCACAGCGTTTCATCAATTTGTATCTATAGTTGGCAAATACAATACATATTTTTAAAGGCAGTTATATCAAAATACTGTTTTCTCCTGCACTGATGCATACATCTCCAGCATACATTGCGCCTCAGATTTAATCATAAGCATAAATTCCTAATCTAAAGGTGAATATAAAACTTTCCAGGGGTATATGTTCATACATAATATGCCTGATCTGATCATACATTTCTTTTTGTGTATATATACAAAGTCAAGCCTGAAACTGTTCAGACCTCAGGGGTATGAATAAATTCGGGTTTGACAATAAATAAAAAATCTTACAAGATATTCAAAAAATAGATACTTAAATGTATGCAAATTAGCACAAATTTAATCAAATAATGCCACATTAGCATATTTAAACGTGATGTTTGCACAACTACAAAATTATTCTTAAAACTATTATTAAATCTATTGTTAAACTGATATTATTAAACAACTAGTAATAAATTATTGATAAAACTATTATATTTTTAAATGTAACCTTTAATAAAGCTGTTTTATAGTATATAATCATTGTTTATACCAACTGAACATCAATGCTGTATGAATTCATGGTAGCAGAGAGAAAATAGTTTTCTGGAGAAACTGTTCAGTTGAAGTCCTTATTATATCACATTAAAAACCTGTATTCTACACCCTGTTTCCCAAATGCAGTCCATTAAATAATATCTTGTAGAATTATGTTTTTAAAAAGTACCAATGTTTAGTTTTATTTTTTAAAAGAAATTTATTTGCAACTTCTTTGACAAACTTTGTGCTTACCTCTGAAGACATGCAACTCTATATCAGCTCAGACGAACTTGGAGTAACAAGACATGAAAGCAACAATTACATAAAAGTCCATAAACAAACACTAAATAATCAAAATATTTTACATAACACAGTGAAATATAATATACATCTATACATTATATATACAATATAGTTTGCATATTTATTGCTTTTAGATAGTTAGGCAGTGGGTTACATGAAGCATTATTACCCTGGGCTAGCCTGCATCAGAAAAGACATAATAAATGAGTATATCTCTTCTTATATCTCTTAATATGTCTTTGCCCTGTTTTTATGATGTTGCCTTGGAGAAACAAACCCATTTTCATTACTTTGCAAGCACATGATGCATACAAGATAATACGCCTAAGTCAAATGGTTTATGTAAAAACAGTTTATAATGAATACATGACTTATAGATGACTTCACAGTATTTTTTTCATGCTGTACATTGGAATGTTTAAGGGGGAAAATTATATCGTGGAATTTCTGTATTCAGAGATATTTAGAGTTGGATTCTTCTGTAAACCATAGACCAAGGGTTAAAAATGATTTGGCATGTACGACAGTATTTCTTTGTCAAGAATTATACTATCGGGAACATGATGCTTTTGGATTTTTTTGTGTGTGTGGCTCTAGCTGACATCATGAAGAGTGGAACTCCTTATATGGTCACATCTCCTGATAGAGCAAGCAGATGAACACAGCAGCGAGCCCTTTTAAAAGGGTTTTAAAGTGACATTGAGCATGTTCAACAATATTTAATATAACCCTTTGACACATCATTTTTATATTTCCATGGCGACACGTCTGGTTTATCACATGCAATTTAAATGAGAGATTAAAGCTGTTGGATTTACAACATGCCAATTCATCACCTTCATCTCCCAAAATACAAGAAACTAAGTGGATGTTTATCTCAGAGAAGAACAGAGCAAATGTCAACCCAGACTCATTCTGATTACGTAACCCTATATACATTTCTTAGAGCAAAATACGTCTCAGGAGCTACATTTTTTTGCAGTTTTTGTTTCTGCTTTGTACGCATTTTCAGATCTCAAATTCCTCTCGCAAATAATAATAAGAAACTAAAGATTTTAAGTAAAAAGATGGATGCATACATGAGATTGTACATAATGAGCATGAAACCCGCCATTTAAATAAGCACAGCGAAAGTCGTCTACAGGCATTGTTAAGGGTTTTGGTTTCCAAGAAGCAACATTGGCAGAAGTTAGTTGCTAGTGACATCCTAATATGATATATGTTGTAAACATTGCTGTCATAATGCATACAATAGCATTTCATGAACCTTATAAATAGTAATAACTACATTGAGTTATAAAACATTCATCCAGTTGTTATAAACGTAAGGCATAGAACAACATGCAGCTCAGTTCTGCAGTTAGTAGATTAGTAAATAACCTCAGTGTAAAATTCAAGCATTGGTTTATAATATTTCCTACATTTTAAATGTAAACAGATTTGGGGGGTTTTGTCAGTAATTTGACTGAGGGGTGTGTTAATGTTAGACAACCCTTTGTCTTACATCCTTCACACAGCTGCAGCTTTTGTCAGCCTGTACTCCATCATCCAGCAGAACAGAGACATCTAGAGAGAAAACACTCATTAATTAGAGCTGTTTTAGCAAAAATGTAACACTTTCATCAAACTGTGTTTCACTAAATTTAGATTTATTTTCTAAATAAACCAATGTCGTGTATCAAATGTAGTTGCATATTCGTGGCAAATTAGTTGTTAAGCAAATGTAGGCTACTATGAAATCTGTTTTAGTTTCCCATTAATTAAAAATCCGCCCACCCCCCAAAATTCCATCTTTCTTTTTCAGTTTTAAAATTTCTAGACTCAACTTTAATGGTTTAAAAGCTTGTATAATGGATTGAAATTATTAATCTTCCACAACTGAACATTTTGCAACTACATTCAACAGCTTTACTTTTTCTCAAATTCAAATTTATTCCTGTTAAAATTAAAACAAAAGAAAAAAAGTTTTTTTTTCCATTAAATGCTGTAATAATTTATTTTGTATTAATTTCATTTTTTAAATAGTTTTTTTTATTATATTAGTTAGTACACTGAATAAATGATTTCTTCAAAATTGTTGCAAACAATTTATATGGGTTGAATTTAAACAAACTAGTTAAATTTAGCAATGTTCAACTTCATTTTTTTTTGTTTAAATTCAGCCCAAATAAATTGTTTACAACCACTTAACATAACAAAACTTAGTAAATTTAAGGAATCATCTTTATAATAATAATAATAATTCCTTACATTTATATAGCGCTTTTCTGGGCACTTTAAATAATATTTTTTTTATTACTAATTACTAAAATAGTAGTTATATATATATATATAAATATTTTTTTAATTAATATTTATAGACAATAGTTCATGTTGCAGTTTGATTGTTTATACTACAGTACTAATTCCGGAAATTGCATGACATTCTGTATTATATAGCTTATTCGTAGAGCCCTAAAAATGCAGGCAACTCCTAAATTAAACTCCTAAAGACTTTAAATCATTTAGTGCTAGTCTTTTCTTCACTTTCTCAAATCATTCTCACCCTTTATTTCTGAGATTACGATCTCTGGATTTCCATTGACAGTTTGAGCTTGTCTTTTATCCACCATGTCAGTCTTCACTTGTCCAAGAGTCCTGAGCAAACACATGGTGTCAAACGCTGCTTCCCCTCCTTCTGACAGCAGCTCCAATACCTGTAAACACAGATCAACAGAAGCATGCTTTACTTAGGCACCTCACTATAACACCTTGACCAGAAATTATTTTTAAATATCACTTAAAGTACTTTTAAAGGGTTAGTTTACCCAAAAATTGTACTCGCATTCAAGTCATCTTAGTTGTTAATAACATTCTTTGTTCAGTCAAATCCAATCAGTGTAAAAATACAAATAAATTAATCTTACCCAGTCTCTGGTGAACCTGCATTTGTCAATTAGCTATGAAACAATGTCTGTAAACTTAAAAAATTAAGATATTTTTATAACAAATCTTAATTTCAATAGAGGAGACCTTAGTTTATCTTTGGGAGCCATGTGAGGATTTATTATTATGGATGGACGCGCTTTATTGGACTTGTTTTGGACTGTTAAGGAGAAATACCTGATCACTGTCATTGTAAAGCATGAAAGCCAGAATATTTGTTTCGTTTAAGGAAAGACCTGCTAGCCAGGTCTTATACTCGGGACACCTAAAGTATAATATCGATACATGACAGCACACTGCCCATGAAGCTAGTCAGGTCCGTAGCCAGAGGGGTTTGGGTGGTTCGGAAGACCCACCCCTTACTGACAAAGTTCCAGAATTTGTCCCATACATGAGCTTATTTGTCTTATTTTGACTGCTATGCCATCATAATAAGTGAAAAATGCCATCGAAAAGGTTTTAAGACTAAGCGGAACCGTCTATTGGCTGTCGCTTCGGTGTGACTTCAGCTAATCAGTTTTGGGCAATGCAAACAATTACTTTTCATGAGTCCAACATCCAGCTGTGCATGAAAACATATAATCTGACATAAGAGAAGTCATATTTCACTATTGTATTGTTTTTTAATGGAGAAAACAATTTACAAAAAACTTTTATAGAATTGTAAGTCTTGGACCGTATACTTGCAACAAAAAATGACCAATAAAAAGGTCCCATTTTAAAATTGATTTGAATACTATTTTGGTTAAAATAGTCAAAAAGTGTGGTTATGAGGACCATTTAACAAACTAATTCAGAATAATGCTTAAAATGTCACTAAAATGCAGTATTTTAATTTCATAATTCAAAAGAGAATGGGGCGTATAAAAAGGTCCACTTTTTGAGAAAAAAGAACCACCCCTTTCACCAGGCTGGCTACGGGCCTGCTATTGGTGCTGACGCCAGGAATTATTTTGAAATAAAACAAACAGGATTCGTCTGAACAAAGAAAGTCATGTACACCTACAGTAGGACCACTTAAGGGTGAGTAAACAATGGGTTCTTTTTTTTGGAGCGAACTAACCCTTTCACCCAAATTTGGGTGATTTTGATTGACATTTTTAAATTATTTACATTTTAAATGACATCTTAAACCCACAGTGTTTGTGCATATTTGACCTATAATTAGGTTTTTAAAAAGCACTGATTTCAGACATTCAAATGCACACATGCGCAAACCTGCAAGCATTTGTAGCTCTTCAGCTCACTCAGGTTTTCCTCCAGGAACAGCAGGTAGATGCTGAGGTCATCATATCGACGGGTCGCAGGCTGCAGATCCAGCACGTGGCCGAAAGCCGGCAGCAAATGGTATGGCCGTAGGAACTGACCACGCTGATGCTGACGGGCAGGCTGAAGGCCGGCATAAACCACAGCCGGCACTAACAGTAAATACACCACCAGATTCATGCAGCTTAGAAGACGGAAAACACCCACTGCCACCAGCTTACACTGAACAACATCTGGCACTTCACTCTGGTTCACTAATATACCTGGAGACACACAAACACAGAAAAGCATCAAAGCACCCAGAAAAGCATCAAAGTAAACACCCTCACGCGCTCACATTAACAGCTGAAGTGTATGAGATGCACACACACCTCTGCGCAGATGGCAGGAGAACTGATCGCTGGGTGACACCCAAAAGATGTAGTAGGTCAGATAAAAGCAGCCCAGCAGTAAAGTGAGGAAGGTTAAAACCCGACAAAGCAGATATTTTGCAGCCAAAGCCCACGATGACCGTTTTGTCTTTAAGTACTGCTCTACCAGAGGGTACTTAAAACAAGCTTCAGTCAATTCAAGACCACTGAGAGAAAGAGAGAAGGACAGCAACAAATGAAGAGAGGAAGAGCAAAAGAGAAAGACATTTTGTGAAACAACAGCAGAAGATTCAGGGAATTCATGTAAGAATGGTAGAATAAAATATAAGAATTTGCACAGCAAGACTCAGCAAGATTTTTCATATGAGTGGTTATTAAAGCCTACCATATAGCATGCAAGAACTCAATCTCAGCACATATATTTATGATAGAGCAAATTTCAGTGCACTTTTAATAAAAGAATCCTGAAAATCTCATGAAACACAAATATAACATGTGGTGTTGTAACATTTTCATATGAAACCCTTTTTAAATACATGATCACTTTTTACACATGAAAATATTCCAAAACAATGTTTCACATTTGACTTTAATGTAACCCTCTGGTCGTACTGCACTCAACCCATTCTGAGCTGGGATCAAACAGGGGATTCTTTGTATATGAGTTGGTTGCTCTAACTAGGAGGATAAAGACCATGGCCTCTAGAGTACCTTATGAGGTCAGAGGAGTGAGGTTTACCCGCATGGCACTTCGCTAGCTGGCCTCAGTTACACTCACCCCCCTAAACCTCTACTCCCATCCCGGACGAACCCCCATGTGTAACCCACCGATCCTACTGCCAAGGGTGTAAATTTACTCTTGACATTAGTAGGGACATACATTTCTAGAGCGCATGCACTGAACAGCACAAATTTTGTTTCGCACTTAAACATGATTAAAGTACTCAATCATTTCAAATAAACACTTAATAATACAAATAACAATCCTGTACCATGCTGCAAAAGTCAATTAACATGATTTTACTGCAGTCGGGCCTTGAGGAGGTATGAATGTCGAGAAATTTAGAGCTGTGTGATACAATTTAACTGTTTTATCCGTAATATTGTTTTTCATTATCACAGAGGCCAAAATCAAAACTGAATTGTAATTAATTGCACTGCCTTGGTTAATAGTATTATGGTGAACTAGTAGCAAACTTGACTTGGTGCATGTGTTGGTTAAATGTTTACAGAGCATTACTTGAAGTCGATTAAATTATTGGTAGGGACATTTCAGTGTTTGGTGGATGTTGGTGGGGATATGTCCCCTCTGTCCATCCCAATTGCCTATTGCACCCAACCCGCGCTGAGCTAGGATCGGACCGGTTTGTTATGGGAGTCGGTTGCTCTAACAAGAAGGCTAAAGACCATGGTCTCTAGTGATTGTCACTAGAGCACCTTTTTGAGGCCAAAGGAGTGATGTTTACCTGCATAGCACTTCGCTAGCTGACCTCTGCTAAACGTCTACTCCCATCCCGGACGAGCCCCCACATGTAACCCACCGATCCTACTGCACCCAACCCACTCTGAGCTAGGATTGAACCAGCAATTCTTTGTATGGGAGTCAGTTGCTCCAACAAGAAGGCTAAAGACCATGGCCTCTAGCTTTTCTAGGCCTCTAACTTTTGAGGTCAGATGAGTGAGGTTTACCTGCATAGCACTTCGCTAGCTGGCCTCATTAACAAACCACTGTACATCTGAAACTTGTGTTTTTTTAAAAGTTCATTAAGTAAAATTCTTGAAGTACAAAGTACAAATGTTTCTAAAAAAACATTTCAAAATAGAGTCTAAATATAAGTTTTAGCATATTTAAATAATTAGCAGAAATTCATATTTTAAAATCTATAGTGGCACTGACAATAACAAATGACAGTTTTAATGTTCGTTCACACCAAGAATAAAAACATAAACAACCATACTGAGATCCACATTAACACGATATGCCATTATAGCATTTGGGCAGTTTTGTTGTCTGCTGCTTTAAATGCTTGAGCTCTTTGAGGTACTACAGAACAGATTTAGAGATGGCTGCATTATTGTTGAAAAAAAACTTTCTCAAAGATACTTTGTACTTTGTACAATGTGCCATTATTATGATGATTTATGGTCATGCTATAAACTCCACCATTCTTTTACATTGTGAACAATTTTAGGAGCTATTATCATCGGCATTCTAATTGTTTCCTTTACTTTTTCACTTTAGTAGGCAGTGCACTTTAAAAAGTGGTTGGGTTTGTCCATATATTACCCAAATGTTTTAAGCATTTTCAGAGTGTAGCAACCAACCCACTTAGAATCAAACATTTTGTGCAGTTGGAAACAGAAATTTCGTGTTGTCATGGAGATTTGAAAAGATTCAGTGTGCTGCACCTGTGTGGGTCTTCAGCGATGTCTTTGTCTTGTTTGGTTGTGATGCTCTTGGCGAGCCGAATGGCACGGTTGTAGCAACGGTCGAGTTCCTCCATGATAAAACTGAGGTCAGATGACAGAGAAGGGGCAGCTGTGAAGCGCCAGAAGAGAGCAGGAATATACATGAGGATGGCGAGCAGAAGGAGGATATAAGGGAAGAACTGAAGATAAAGAGGAAAAAGCATAATCAGAATTGTGAAGGTCTCTGAAGCAAAGAAAAAAAATGTAATTGTTACATTCTTACAATAACTACAATTACACAAAATACATAGTGACGGGTGCCAGTATTGCAATTCACATACACAATAAATCTAACCCATCATGACCCTTTTATAAGATGCTAAAATAAGTCTCTAACGTCACTAGAATGTGTATAAGAAATTTCAGCTCAAAATACCCCACAAATAATTTTTTATAACTTTTTAAAACTGCTTCTTTTAGGCTTTGATTTAAAACTGGGCCGTTCTGGTGACTGTCACTTTAAATTTAAATGAGATTGTGTTCCCAGTCCTCTTTTCAAAAGAGGGAGGAGTTACAAACGCCTCAGTGTCAGTAGAGTGGCAGATTTGTAACAGGACTAGAATGAAAAAACTGAGAATGTCAAAAAAAGACTGTCAGTAGAAGGCAGTCTATGGAGACTCCGGTCTTCATTTGTGCATCCTAAAACTCCACATTTATAATCCTCTCAGTTGCTTATGTTATCTTCAGCATGTGAAAACTCTTATGGTGGATGGCTGCTTCTTACTAAGGGCTGTTTATGCTAATGACAAAGAGATTGTCATTAATGGGTGGGATTTTCCCTTCTCTGATGACTCTGATGGCAGAATGCCAATCAAAGTGTACAGGCTGCACAGTAAAAAAAACATTGACTCAACTGAAAACTCTAGTCCTCATGCTGCAAAGCTTTTTTGAGTTGATTCAAATTTAAAGTCAACTATGCAGTTAAAAATTTGATATTCAGAAAATTGTTGAGTTGACTCAAATTTCAACCTAATTACTGCACTTGACTTAATTTAAGTTGAGTAGACTCAAAAATGTCCTGAAGTTTGTTGCCTTAAAATTTTAGTCATTTTTTTTTTGTGTATAGTACTTGAGATAAAAGTTGAATCACCTCAAAAAAACATGATGCTAACAATTTTATGTTGTCACACAATTGTGTTCTAAACCTTTATACAAATGATTTTTGAATAATAGGTAACCTTTAACATTTCACTTCAATTAAAATAAATAAATGAATAAATAAATAAATAAATCACCAATTTTTAAAAAATATCTGATTAGTATTGAACTCAAGCTATATTTATTTATATTAGTTAAACATTTGCATGAAACAATTAATCAATATATAAATCAATACAATTTGTATCATGTAATCAATAAATCAATATATTATTTATTATGTAAAAAATGTGTTAGGTTAGTATATTAATAATTACTCCTCCAATACAAATTTTTTAAAAAGTGATCACAATTTTTCATTATAAGATCTAATGGTTTTTCTGGCTATAGACGTCATGCTTTCCATGACAAGGTGTTCAAATATTACATTCAACCAATAATCAATATTTAATAAATGTTAGCTGTGTTGAAGAATAATATTTTTGTCTTTTGCAAATATTATTGATAAAAATTAATTTTACATGTGATGGTACAACACCAATTTCAGAAAATGATTCTAACAAACAAAACAAAGGAGACGTTGGTATTTATCAGGAATCTGTTTTAATTTAATTTGCTGCTCATGATGTCCATGTGCGCCCAAAAACGAACCTGCATTACCTTATGTAGATGAAGAGGGGCGCTGTAGGTCTCATTCTCTGAAGGGTGATGCTCTACTGCAGCCCAGCAGAAAGAGTCCGCATACGCAGCCTGTCTCATCGTGAAATTAGTTGGAGGAAAACATGTGATCTGAGTACCTATAAGACAGGGGAATTACACAAGAAAGTGTCGTTTTCTTAGCTGAAGGGAAAGAAAGAGTGATGTGATAATAATTGCTTTCATTGCTTTCATTATTGCAGCATAGATTTGGAAAGTGCATTATGTGTGCTGTGTGATAATAATGTTTGAAACATCAATTCCAAATTCATAACAATAGACGTTTATGAGCAGCTCTTTCAAATAACTAATTAGGTGGAGATCGGAAGCAAATGTTTCCTTCGTGGCTTATAAAATCTACCTAATGTTTTATAATTATGTGAAACATTATCAAAAGTAACTGTAATGTTAACACTTTATAATAATTCACCCAAAATCCAATGCTGTTATTACTTTCGAAACAAGGTGTTTTAATAATGCTGGTAGCCCAACAACACTGGAGCACTTGCTTAAATTGTTTAGACAAAAAACGAATTGAAATAATTCTTAATATTTCCTCTTTTGTGTCCCACAGGTGAAATACAAATAACATTCCATTATTTCATTCTTTGGAATGAGGGTGAGAAAAATTAATGCACAATTTTTTTTGGTGGGCACTTTTGTTATTGCCATGCAAGTGTCACAATCACAATCAGATGAATAAATTATATTAATCCATGTATATTTTATTAATTATTTTATTAAATTAAATTATAATAAAAATAATATTTTCCCAGAGATAGGTTACGGCTGGAAGGCATCTGCTGCATAAAAACATGCCAGATAAGTTGGCGGTTCATTCCGCTGTGGCAACCCCGGATAAATAAAGGGACTAAGCCAACAAGAAAATGAATGAATAATAATAATATATAACTATATTAATCCAAATTAAATAATAAAAATATTAATATTCACCTCATTAACTAATAAATTATGCATTTTAGTGACATTTTAAGAACTAATCTTTGCTGGATCACCTTGTCGGATGGTGATCATAGCCACACTTTTTTTTTTCTCAAAATGCGCACCATTCTTTTTTTCCTACAAAGTTTTTATTTACAAATTTGGATTTAAACTGTAAGTTTATCCAGTTTTATAAACATTGTTATGAGATTAGCATTTTTTTTTAAAATTTACATTTATTTTATAAAACTTTTTTTTTAAATACAAATTTATTATCATGCATCATTTAAAAAAAATAGGAATATGGTAAAACTTGTTTAAAAATAAAAACTGTAAAAAAATGTCCAGCTCATTAAACTTTCCTCAGTCAGCATTCGGCCACCTAATTAAAATTATAATAATAATTATTATCTATTTATCTATTTATTTTTTTCATGAACTTCATGAAGCCTTCTTTCATCTCAAATTTTTACAATTCATGATGGTAAAGCACAGAAGTAGAACAAATGAGCTTATATAGGGCTCAAATTCTGGACTTTGTCAGTGGGGGGTGGGGGGAAAAGGGATGTCAGTGTCAATAAATATGTTCATATTTATATAATGAAAATTGTATATGTTCATTTTATAAATCAGTTGTCATCAAAGTTGTTCTAAAACTCAAATATCTATTGAACAGTTCCATTTTTTCAGCAATGTACAATGGTAATATGTACTATTTGTCATTTATGAATACTACAATAGCACTATTGTATATGGAATAACTATAAGGTCTATAAACACGAAAGTCTTCAACAACAAAAAATGCCATTTAAATGTACAATATCTGTTTTGTTTTATAATTATAGTTTAAAAAGAAAAACAGGCTGATGACAGCCATAAAATAGAGTGTGGTTATAGACAATGTTGAAACTTTTAAGCAACAAGTTAGAAGTTAAATATATCATGCAGATATTAGATTAAAATCAGTCACTCAATCTGATATGTGCTTTAGGGAGACAGATAGCTTAACTCTGTGGTTTGAGTGGTTTATGAAGTGATACTGATTCAATTTGTCGTGGACTGGGACAAACACTACGGCCTCGGCTCAAAAAACAAACAAACAAAAAAAAAGATTCGCCTGCTGCATTTGGCTTATGTTTTTTCCCCGTGAACGCGCATATCTGTTTTGACGCATCATCACCAGCAGCAGTGACGCGCCCATTGTGGATTTACAGACAAACCCGATTAGCAATTGGCCTTAATAATGTACAATAAGCCGTGAACAAACACGCCATTCAAGCAATATTATGTTTAAAGACGGTGAAGTGAATGATTATTTAGCGAGTTTCTTCCAACATTTGTCAGTCTTTGTGTTTAAAGCAGCAGCGAACAGCTCAAAAGCGAGAAATGGCTTCAGGTTTATCTGTTTAAGTCAGTATATCGACTAAAGTTTAAACACATCTGTCTATCTAGTTGATTTGCCAAACTCAATCATTTTACGGAAATCACTGTATCGATGATAAAAATGGTTTTACTGACCCACAGAGACTTCTTGGGCAAAGGCGAGTGAGATGAGTAACAAAGGAAGCCCGACCGCGATAAAACTGACTAGTTTGTCTGTGGCCAGTTCCAGCCGCACGCCTTTATACTTAGAATCACTCTGCTCTTTCAATAAGAAATCAGAAAACACATATTCAGTCGCTACCCGCGCTATAGCCATTGTTAAGATGAAGTGTACAGTACAATTATGTGTCAAGTGCACCGCTAGTTCCGGTGGGCAGGCGCTCGTGCGCGGTTCACCAACCAGCAACAAAAACAACCTGAGGGGAAACTGAAGCAGAGCAGCATCCTCGAGCGACATACAAAAGACATAGGCTATATCGTTTTTGGTGACTCCGTTTATAATTTATATAATAGTTTTAGCAATTTACAATCTTACTTAGGCCTACATATTTATTTTCATTTATTTGAATTATTCAAATTCAAATAGGCTGTTTGTTTTTAATTTATTGATGACTTGGTTTGTTTGATTTATACTTATCTTAACCAATTTTGATCATACTTATTTTTCATAATATTCTATTTAATAACTTAATTTATTAATAACTTAATTTAACTTACTTTTTTCTCCAAACATATATGCCTACACAGACACCCTACCCTCAGTCATTTTAGCCAAAAAACCATGCAATGATGGACTGATTTAGTTTTTCAAAGAAAAAAATAATAATATTCTGTAAGCAATTTAATATAATTGTTGGACAGAAAAGCAAAGAAAAATTAGACAGATAAATAAAGTGAGAGGGATACTTTCATGCACCTACCTAATGATAAGTTTTTTTTGCTGTACAATTATTGTTTTTTATACATTATATAAGCACCATTCTTATTTGTTTGTTTATTTATTTATGTACTTCATTTATTTAATTTATTAAGACTTCCCCATTCCATCCAAAACCACTTCATGGCAAATTAGTGTGTTAAATTAATGAATAATTTTGGTATACTTGTCTTTATGTATTTTCTTTTCGGCTTAGTCCCTTTATTAATCTGGGGTCGCCACGGCAGAATAAACCGCCAACTTATCCAGTATAGGTTTATGCAGCAGATGCCCTTCCAGCTGCAACCCATCACTAGGAAACCTCCTTACACACTCATTCACGCTCATACACTACAGACAATTTAGTTTACCCAATTCACCTATAGCGCATGTCTTTGGACTGTGGGGGAAACCGGAGCATCCGAAGGAAACCCACGCGAACACAGGGAGAACATGCAAACTCCACATAGGATTGACAACTGACCCAGCCGAGGCTTGAACCAGCGACCTTCTTGCTGTGAGGTGATCGTGCTACTCAATGCGCCACCGTGGCACCTATACAAGTCTTATCTTATTTTTTTAATCTGCACAGATTAAAAGACAGTTTCGTTGCAAAAACAGATATTAGTGAAATTATGTTTAATATTAAGAAAGTCTAAAGACAGTAAAACGAAGGCTTTAGCACAGATAAATAAGCTGTGTGATTTCTTAATATACAGGATTTCTTATCAAAACAAACAGTCCAACAAACACTTCATTCACTAAATAACCAAGTAACTAACTGGTAGATCAAGAGTGATGTTCAGTTTTTTCCTCCATCCAATTATTACACACATTTAAACTATTGTATGTTACATCAAAACACCCTTAGTTTATTAGTTAATTCTGTTCATTTTCCTTTGTGTATGCAGTTTTTAGTAACTTTTTTCCCTTTTTCCAAAGTTTTAGAATTGTTGTTGTTTGAAGGACCCTTTGTTCACATAGCTTTGTGATTATTTTCAATTTACAAACAAACATCAAGAAGGATTTCAGCGAAAGCTCATCTTTATTGACTTCATTAGAGTGCAGAAACAAATTGCAAAAGACAAAAAAAGAAGGTAAGATAGAAAGTGCAAGCATTTTCTGAAGAAAGAGAGATGGATACAGGAAATATTTGTAATTAAATGCTCTTTTTATTATTGTATGTAGCCATTGTTGGCAGTTTGCAGGTCATCTTGTGTGTTTTCTTCAGTCGTGGAACAGGTCGAAGAAGCTGTGATCGTCTGGAGCCTCCTCAAATGACACACCCTCACAATAGGCCGGAGGTGCAAATACTTGAAGGTCGTCAACTTCTGTTTCAACACCGAAGAAGCTAAAGCAGAAAACAGCACAATGTACTGACTGGCATACAAAGCTGAAACAATAACATGTAAAGAACGCTGTTTGAATACCTGAAGAAAAGATCTTTCTTCTCGCCATAGTAGGAGCCAGAGACCGTCAAACAGCCACAGGAGGTGGTAGACAGAGAGTAGTGAGCTGAAAAAAATCAGAAACTCAAAAAGTAAACATGCTTTCTTTAATTTTTATACATAAAAGCAATCAATTAACCGAATAGGGGTACAAAAAGTAAGGACCGTGAAGTTCAGGAAACTTTCCGTTCCACACACGAACTCTGAGTCCCTGCTCGGTGAGAGAGGGGCTACCCATGTAACTCTCAGACTCGTGAGTGGCATCAACGGGAATCTCCATCAGGTGCTTGCGGAACTGCAGAGTCTCCTTCTTGCAACTCTCATTTTTACTGTCTATCTCATAGAGTACACCCTGTGCGAAAAAAAATTCTTTAATGTTTTGACTGTAAAAAGCATCAACAAAACTGGTGAGTCACAAGCTGAAAGAGGAAGAGGAATAGAGAGAGAGAGTTGCTGAGTCGTCCCACCTCTTCAAAATGTATGAGCACATCCATATAAGAAGTTTTGTTCGCGTGAGTGGTGTCCTCAACAAAACGAAATTTATTCGTTTTGGAGTCATAACTGAACTCTCCAGATGCAAGGTCATGACCCCCTGTGGAAACCTGAATGTGTGTTTAGAACGTGGAACAAAAGAGAAGATTGAAAGTGTTCAGTTATACAGTAATGGTTAGTGTTAGGCATGTTTCTGAAACACAAACAACATTTGTAAATGCAAGTTAAAGTTCATAGTAAAACAAATATTAACACTTTAAATAACTTTAAAAAAGAAATGATGGGTTGTTTCAACACAGTTTTGGGGAAAATATGGACAAACCCAATCACTAGGTTACATCTTTGGTTGTTTTTTTTTTTTTCAAAAACTAAATAAAAAAAAACTGAAACCCATTTGTTAACTTGTAAATATTTTACCCAAATGTATGTTGAAATGACATTTATTTTCTAGAGCCTACACTGTAAAAAAATATATGATTACATAGTCATGACAACATATGTTTTTAGTTCATTGCAACTTATAAAACCAAGACAATCATGTTCTAACTTAATTGTATAAGTTATGCAAGCAGTTTTAAGTCAGTTTAACATAATATACGTTCAATGGACTCATAAGGTTAATTTATTGATCCAGTTTCAAAATTTAAGACAACCATAATTTTACGGTGTAGTTTATGTACAATCGGAAAATCTGTGCACTCTTTACTGAATTAGATTGTTTACAGTGAATCAGTGAATAAATCAGGCCTTGCTTTTGTTTGCAAGACAAAGCATTTTTTAAAGCGTTCTTCTTGCACAGTAATATTGCACTTCTAAAATCATCAATCATGTCTTTAAAATGTTGTTCACTCACCACTTTCATCGTTCCACTGGTCAGCTGTGGTGAATCTGTAAAAGAAACGAGATAGATGACATTTATGCCTTGTCAGCAGCCTCTTAAAAACATTGTCATACTCATTTTGGACCAATTTAATTGAGAAAATGCAGCAATATTAAAGAAACTACTTTAAAAAAAAATTAAGCACTTACGACATGGCTGCCGATGAGAGTGATGAGAAGCCCAGCCGATGGCGCAGAGGCAAGAGAACACCACACAGAGCAGCTTGACTGTATGCATCGTTGCTCTTTAACTTTCTTCAGGTCCAGACACTTCCACCCTCATTCAGACTCTGCCTTTTATACATAACCCCTGCACCCCATCTAAATGCCCCCTCCCCTCTGCCTCTGGACGTCCAGCAATAGAATAAACATCTGATGTTTCAAAACACCTACTATTGTAAGCCCAAATGAGAAAGCTGGAAAATTGGCACAAATGACTGTCCACTAAATAAAAAAAGTACATTTCAACAAACAATCGCCCCATCCGGCCTCTGATCGGCGCTCAGGGGTGCTGGTGTCATACTGGTGGACCAGAGACAGTTGGTGTCATGTCGCATGATTGTGGTTCATGTAAGGTGAAGATTATGCTGACTAAACTTCTCAATCAAGAAAAAAATTAAACAAAACAAAAACAAAAGTGGGTTATGCAGGTGTGAAAACAATCACCATCTGGTACTTTCCTCATTCATTCAGCTCTTCTATTAGAAATCACACTTTAAGTAAGATTACATAAAACTGTGCAATAAACCTAAAAAATTCAAAGGGAAAACTTTAATCAAAGACAATTCTGTAGTGTCACTTACTTTGCAGTCTGGTTGCAGAGACTAGCACTTTGATTTTCATTGGAAATTACTGTGGTAATTTCTGTTTATATACAGCAGGGTAAAAGAAGTATTCAACACTTCACCATTTTTCTCAGAAAAGATATTTCTAAAGGTGCAGCTGACTTGAAATTTACACCAGATGTTGGTAACAACCAAATAAATCAATATCTGCAAATAAAATAATATTAATTACTTATAAATTAAGCTATTTGTAATAAAATGAAATGACACAGGACTAAAGTTTTGAACACATGAAGAATGAAGGCGTAGAAAGACAGTGAAAGCCCAGACAGCAGCTGAAATCTCTCAGCAGTTCTTTGTCATTGTCAATTATTATCAGCTGCTTCACTCTAACATTTATATCATCAGGATGATAAAGATGATAACAGAGTGGACATTTCAGTGAGACAATGATCCAAAACACAGCCAAGGAAACTCTCAAATGCTTTCAGAGAAAGAAAATCAAGCTGTAGAATGGTCCAGCCAATCACCTGACTTGAATCCAATAGAAAATACAAATTAAAAATCAGATTTGATAGACGAGACCAGACACAGAACCATCAAGAAATGTACAATCTGTTGAAGTCTGTGAAAAAAAAAAATCACACGTGATCAACGCATGTGACCTCATTCTCCATATGAGAGGAGTCTTTAAGCAGCTATCACCAAAGTATTTCAGTACTTTCTCCTTGTGTCATTACATTGTTATACATTCATTTATTTTCTTTTTGGCTTAGTCCCTTTATTAATCTGGGGTCGCCACAGTGGAATTAACCAGCATATGTTTTATGCAGCGGATGCCCTTCCAGCCGCAACCCATCACTGGGAAACCCGTACACACTTATTCGCACACCATATTCGCACACCATACACTTTACATTTTAGCCAACCCAATTCACCTGTACCACATGTCTTTGGAATGTGAGGGAAACCGGAGCACCTGGAGGAAACCCACGCAAACGCAGGGAGAATATGCAAACTCCACACAGAAACACCAACTGACCCAGCCGAGGCTCGAACCAGCGACCTTCTTGCTGTGAGGCGACAGCACTACCTACTGCGCCACTGCGTCGCCTGCGGTGGCGACACATAACAAAATTTTCAAGATTTATTTTGTTTTGTTTTTATGTTGTACTGTTTGGGTTTTTATGAAAATGTGGTTGAATTTCATATCAACAGCTTTTAGAATATTTGTAATTTTAATTTTAAAAAGTTGGCGCATTTTAATATATAGCAGTTTTTTTCAATTTAAATTTGAGTAAAATATGGACAAACTCAACCACTTGGCCATTTGTTTTTACTTTTTACATTCATGTTTGTCCATATTTTGCACATTTTGTTAAAAATAAATCCATGATTCTAATTACGAAATAGTTTACTGGAAAAAAGCTACAGTTAAAATCTGTTACAGTGGTTAACAGAATGTTTCCATAATGTTTGTTACCATGATGGTGTTTAGTAGTTGATACTGAACCCTCTCTAGATATTAATATTTCTCTGCTTGAGCTTTGACCAACACAATCTCACGGCAATTCGTAACTTTTTGATTTAGTGGCTAATTCGTATGAATTTGTATGATCTAATTTGAACTATTTAGTACGATTTGCTTATTACCCAATGGCGGTTGGCGTTAGGGGTGGGGTTAGGTGCCATGGCTCCTTTTTAAAATCGTACATTTTCTTACAACTGAACTCGTACAAATTCATACGAGTTAGCCACTAAACTGACAAAACGTAAAATCTTTACGTTTCCTCTGTCTTTTTCTTCACCATCTTTTTGTGGGGGTTTTTCTGTGTATTACAAAGGTTCAAGGTACAAACGTAAAAAAAAAGATAAAACATGGTAGTGTGCTGTTCATTTTTATATGTTTATGCCTTTTTTAATCGCTAAATACTGAAACCACAGCTGTAGTGGCTTATGCCATACATTTTATAGATTTGTTTTTACAGCGCAAATTTGGGTTATTACAACTCACTAATTTTATGCATCACGAGTTGGGGTTTTCTCATGCAATTTCAGTTATGTTTGTCACACAATATAATATATGTGTGTAAACAGGAAAGTGTTTGGGTGTTTCCCATTGATGGGTTGTGACTGGAAGGGCAGCTGCTGTGTAAAACATGTACCAGAGTTATTGTTGGTTCACTCCGCTGTGGTGACCCCTGATAAATCAGGGACTAAGCTGAAGGATAGTGAGGATAGATTTTCATATAATTAATTGATTCTGTTTTCTTGTAAAGAGGACACAAGAAATCCCCCTTAATGTTTGTAGGGCACTTTCACTATTGCTGATTTATGGCAGGGATTGTCAGGAATTGGTTTTGAAATTTGATTTTATAATGGTATAGTTATGGAAAAAAAAACTTTCTTCTATCAGTTTTACAGAAGTTCTTTATTTATCTTCATGATGCATGTTGTGAAATCTGGATCTTAAAAAAAAAACCAAGATGACAGTAACTGGATAAAAAGCAAGTGGACAGTAACTGGATGAACAATAAACATGTTACTTAAATTGACCTAAATAAGATTTTCATTAAAAATATAAGGTCACTTTATTTTGATGGTTGAGTTAAGTTACATTGCTTCTACATGCCAATGAATTCTCATTACATTTTTTAAGTAGACTGTTAGGTTGGGGTTTGGGTTAGGATTAGTGTAAGTTGATATGTACTTGCAAAGTTTCCTTTTGTCTTTAAAGTCTGTTGAAAGAGCAGTATCAAAAGATATCGAGCAGACAGTCTACTAATACTCAAATGGACGATCAAAATAAAGTGTTACCGAATATAAATATATTATATGAAATAAAACATTATATGTATAATTCAAATCAAAAGAGGAGTTGATCATCAGTATGTGGGCTTGAAGCAGATGGTTTTATTGACTATCAGACCCCAGATGTTGAACTGCTGGCGTCAATGCGGGACGCTTGTGACTGGTGAAATTAAGTTTATTTGCTTTCACTGCTTGATGTCAGTCTTGTTTTCTAGGCAAAAGGGAACATTATACCACATAAAGAACATAACCAAATCCTTTTTTAGGAGAAAAGCTTTTAAAAAAACTGAGAAGATGTATGTAAATGTGATAATTTCGAAGAATTTTTTGACATTTAGATGAAATGTTACATTTTACATTTTTGAAAAGAAAATGTTTTTATTAAAAATTTAATTACTAAATGTGAAATATTTTTTATTTGTGTACATATATAGTCAGTGAATCACTTTTCAGTGTTTATTAAACTGATTTGCTCATTTCTGTTCTCTTATCAAGTATTTAAATTTGATATTAGTCCTTGAAGGACAAATTCTTAATTTAATTCCTGGGGCACATTATTCAACAATTCATATAAAGCATACAATTTTATAAATATTATTACACAAAATTAACATCTGCACTAAACAAAATTTTTAGCACAGCCTTGTATGTTAAATTTAAAGGAAGAAAAAATAATCATCCTAAACATTAATGTTATAAAAAGCAAAATTTATACTTTCTCAAACTTCAACATATTGTTAGAACAGCAATTCTTAAATTTTTAATTAATGATAAGCAGACTAATTGTATTTGTTGAAAAGTTATGCTTCAATAATGATCTGCCAGATAGAACCTTATAATACCAAGCGGAAAATTATGTTTTAGAGTTAGAAGCTTCTATCTGCATATTATGGAGCTGATAATATGCCAAAACAATCTGAATTTGAATTGTGGCAATTTGAATTATTCACAATTGTAATTTAACAATTGTAAAACACAATTGTAATTTTTGTTTTTTTTTTGTATGCTGTTTTGATGTTTTGAATTTAAAATCCTTATTTTGAATTTGAATTTCATAACTTGAATATTGAACATTTGAAATTTAAGACAACTGTATATTTCAAGGCTGACATTTTTTATAGACACATTTGCAAACTTCAGATTTTTTGTGTTCTGAATTCCTACTATTCTGACTGCAGAAATTGGGTTTGTAAAAATACAGTTTCAAGTTTTCAAGATGAAGAAATTTAGAACATCAAATTCAATATCCTAAAGTTTAAAACCCGAAATTCAGATTCAGCAGAAAGTTAGTCAGGGGTGACGAACAGGGAGGAGTAGACGATCACCGAAAAGTCAAACTAAGAAACACTCACCTCTGTTTGATTCGTTGTTATGGACGAATTACAGGGTGGGAATTAAGAGGGTGGGGGTTTTGGGGGGGGGGGGGGGGGTCTGGAAATAGGTAAAATTAGGTGTTTTTTATCTACATATTATTAATAACTATAAGGTTCTATCTGCATTCTGAAAGACTTTGAGACATTGAGCTTCAAAGTTTTTGCATAGCAAACAGTATATGTGAAACATTTGTTTTTGTTTTTTATAAAAAGTCTTAAAATGTAAACAACTTGTAAAAAAAAACACCCCATAGTGTAAATAAGTTATAATTTAATAAGAATATGTCAATTAACTCTAATTTGA